AGGAGTGAACAAGAGCGCGGTGGCGGATGTAATCCAGTCAACGAGTCAATCGAAGCTGGAGTTTTATGAGCTTTCAACAGTTCGGCGAAATCGGTCGACGAGTTGTTATCAAGCGAAACCGACATCAATCCAGTTCAAACGACCAACTGCAAGCCAGTCTCGTCTTCGTTCGAACGACCGATTCCAGTCCTAGGTACCCGATCGCCGTGCTGTTATCTGCCGATCTTTTGTCGTTTAAACTCGAAGGATTCGAAATACAACAACATGCAATCCAGTTCAAACGACCAACTGCAAGCCAGTCTCGTTCTTGTTCGAACGACGATTCCAGTCCTAGGTACCGATCGCCCGTGCTGTTATCTGCCGATCTTTTGTCGTTTAAACTCGAAGGATTCGAAATACAACATGCAACGTTCAACGACCAACTGCAAGCCAGTCTTCTTCGTTCGAACGACCGATTCCAGTCCTAGGTACCCGATCGCCCGTGCTGTTATCTGCCGATCTTTTGTCGTTTAAACTCGAAGGATTCGAAATACAACATGCAAGCCGGTTCAAACGACCACTGCAAGCCAGTCTTCTTCTTTCGTTCGATGATCAACATCAACATCAACATCAACACGGGCGATCGATCGCATCGTGTTGTGTTGTTTGTTGCGTACACTCGAGTTAATGAAAAAGTGAGGAGTTTGCGAAGATATAACGCAAGCATGATTCAGGCAATTCAAACTGATAATATAGCCATTCGAAGCATGACTCAAAGCTGACACACAAGCCGAGCTTTCCATATGCAGTCGGAGCGCATTTTTTGATCAATTTTGTTAACTCGATCATCGCGATCTTTTCTGTTAACTCGATCGCGACCTCTGTTATCGCGACCGATGAGATGATGCAAGGCTTTGACGGTGATAGAGATAACAGTAGTAGCAGTAGCAGTAGTGGCTCCTGTGACCGAATAATAGGATCCTCATTGAGTTACGATCGTCAATAGGATTAAGAAAGGTGGACTCCATAGGAGTCCATATATAGGATCCTCATCGCAATTTCGATTGAGACAGGATGGTCACATTGAGATTACGATCGTCAATAGGAGAAGAACAAGGGGAATGCTTACGAGCGAATCCAGGGGATGAGTTGCAATAATGGGAAGGACTACCGATGAAGAGTGCAGAGGAAACTCTGGAGCAATCTGCATCAAGGAGTAGCGCAGTCCATTGACAACCATAAGGGATAGACATATAAGAATAAGAATGAGTAACATCTCATAACCTCGCATGCTACCATGCGACAATACCATTGTGCATTGACTAGTCTAAGGATCTAAGAGATGTAAAGTTGTATTTCCAAATAAGTGAGCAGTTATTGATTATTTTCTAGAATAAGCCTGCTAATTGTAAAGCTGTAAAGCTGAATTGTAAGCTGTATCCCGTCGCAAAAGTTTGATCGTGGCAACAAGGGATTCCTGGACGATGAAGAACAGCTCCTTGTCAAGTACGATGCCAATGGTGATGGCAAGATCAATGCTGCAGAACTCTTCAGCATTGTGGCTGATCTGAACAAGGAGAAGCAGAAACAGAAGGGCCTCAAGAAGGGACTTGGCTTGTCTTTGGTGGCAATCATGTTGCTCCTCACCATGTCTTTTGGTCTTGTCTGGGCAGTGGTGGCCCTCACCAAAGAGGTTGTGGTTGATGGCAGTGGACACTTGGTGGACTCCCATACGGGCAATGTGGTAGAGACCAGGCCTGAGGCCAGCTTGATTCACCTCAAGGCGGATAGTGGTGTTGCCCGCAGGTTTCTCGTGAGGAAGCTACAAGATTTAGTTGGCGGCAGTTTGGACAGGTCCAATGAGCTAGATGGAGAAGGGAGGGAGTACCTTGGCACTGCACCCAAGGGTGGAGTGCACACAGCCTACAGGCGATTCCAGGAGAACTCGGAGCATTGCAATGCTGTGGTGACTGTGAATGGTGTTGAATACACTCGTCCCCTTAACCTTGCTGGGATCAGCAGGAGAGAGCAGGATACTGACAGGAGGAAGCTAGGAGGAGGTGGTGGCGGAAGCCGCCCCAGAAAGTTGCTTTACCAAGGCATCTACATGGAATCTAACCCAGAACAGGAGTTCAGGTTGGATTGTGATGATGAAGAAGATGACTGCAGTGTATTCTCTGTTGGTCGCTTTCATCCTGGATCAAATTCTGGCCGAAGATTGGATCAAGTTATTTTGGACCAATGTAAAAATGATGATGATTGCAATGGTGACTTTACCTGCAACACCATCAGTTTTTACAAATATTGTACATGTAATGAAGACACAGATTGTGATTACCTACTTGAGAGTGGTGGTTCCCACTATGCTTTCCGAAACAGGGATAAGGTTGATGCTCAATGTCCGAATTCCAATGTGTGCAGAGTTTACTATGACTGCTTCTCTGCCTCCATGATGACCATGACACCTGAAGGGCCCAAGAGAATGGATGAGCTCAAGATCAATGACCTGGTGTTGACTTCCTCTGGCCAGTTCCAAAAGGTATATGCTTGGCTCCACAGGACACCTGAGAAGGTTGCTGCAAGTCAAGCAGGGAATCAGAGTACCTCCAGATTGTCACAGACAGTGGAAACAAGATTGAGATTACCCCCAAGCACATGATCTACATCAATGACCAGAAGTATCCTGTGGAGGCTGGCCATGTTAAGGTTGGGGACTACTTGTCCCTCATGGAGCCTGGTCATTCCACCACCGCTACCAAGGCAGCCAAAGTGACTGTCATTACCACTGTCAAGCTCATGGGGGGCTTCTCTCCTGCCACTGAGGATGGAACCATTGTGGTCAATGGTCTTCTTGCCTCCTCCTACAGCAACCCTCGCTACACTGACAATGAATATGTGGAGGTTGCTGGAAAGCCCTTGATGCACAGGCAGGCATTCACCCACTTGATCACCTCTCCCCTGAGGTTGCTCTGTATCCATGTCAGCAGTGCCTTCTGTGAGGTGGATATGGATGGGGAAGCATTTTTGCCTTTCTCCAAGGGAGTTGACAAGATTTATGTTGCCTCTGCAAATGCTGGAATTGTGGATAGTGTGTTGATGTTGACAGGCTTTGTAGGAATGATGGCCCATGGAATTGAGCTTTTCTTCAAGATGTTTGGCCTTCCCTTGATGGCCTCTGGATGTGTTCTTGCACTTATCAATGCTGTGGCGCCCTTCAACTTCAACATGCAGATTGTCAACAAGGCCAAGAAGGTTGACTAATGTGTGTGTGAATTCCCTATATGTTATGTACATGTGAAATTGTTGGTGCATGTGTCCAAGAAGAAGAATATTCCATATTTGACAAGTGCTATCTGCAAGGTAGCTATAATATTTAAAAATAGTAACAAATATTTGTCCAAAGAGTATCTCTGTCAGTGTTCAAGTGATGTAGTTTGATACTCTACCGGATCTATATTATGTAGCTTTGTGTGAAGAGGTTCGTGTTGCTCGCAACTTCTCTTCGTCCCAAGTCTGACTTTTATTGACTCATCAAGGGACGCAACAAAGGTTAGAACGTGGAATCACAACAGGCAATCAAAAGGCGCCAGCTTGGAGTAGACAGTGACCTAATAACTTCGAAAGTCGCCCGAACCCGATTTCAGATCGCTCTGCTGGCTACCCGTACCGGTATGAATACCGGCCGGAATCCTCGGTTCTCGCCTCTCGGCGGATGGTTCGAAAATCTCTGGAGCGATACATCGCACTAGCTAGCTAGCTATTACCCCAAAGATTCACTCTTTCAATAAAAAAGATCCACCATGGCAAGCGAATAAGTGAAGCGCTCGATCACACGGCAACAGGCCACAAAGAATCGAAGGCCTTGACAAGGTCATCACTTCAACACTAAATTTTGATTGGGAGTCTATGCAGCTGCGGGAGGGAAAGGTCCAGTGGAGACATCTTTGGAAGATGGACATGGATCGTTTTTTTGGTAGAGGTAGCAGAAACAATCATCATGCCACTATCCTCGACCAGCGGCCGCCCAACCGGTACTTCTGGCGTCTTCCATTCTGCCAGTGAATGGAAGGAAAGCGAAGAGTCTGTAGCAGAGGTTTTGGCCAAGGACAAGGTAGATATTGTGGTGCCCAATGCCTCCATTAGACGAAACACAGTGGAAAAACTGACCCAGTTCTACACCGAAAAGCTACTCCAATCACAGCGTCGACTCACAAAGTTGTACGGGCGAGACATGGAGATTCAGGTTTTGAAACAGCAGTTTGAAAAGTTGTGCGGCGACAAGAGGTATCGTTCGTTGGTGCTCATTGGTGGCATGTCAGGAGAGGGGAAAACAGCACTAGCACTGCAGCTTCAAAAGTCTGCACATGCAAGTAGATTCATTGGCAAACGGCCCATTTTTGTGCTTGGCAAGTACGACCTGGCTACTTTGGGGGAACCCTACTCGGGAATCAAGGCAGCCCTAGGCGACCTTTGTCGGGAGCTTTCCAAGTTTCCTGTGGATTCATTGAATCAAATCCGAAAGGACGTTCAAAAGAAACTCAGCTGGGAAACTGACCTTCTTTGTCAGATTGTCCCTGAGTTAAGAGTGCTGAAGAGCGGACAGCAAAAGTCGCCAGAAACTGAAAACGAAGATGCGACGCACAGTGCTAATACCCAAAGCAACAACACCGTGCCGGCAAAGAGGAATCCGTCTACAAGATTGGGCATGACCAGGAGCCAGAGAAGCCTACGATTCATTGTTGACGACAAGTTCGAAACCGGTGCTGGAAGTGCCGATCGACTGAAGTATGCGCTGCGCAAACTGATCAATGTTGTCACCAGCTTAGTGCCTCTTGTCTTTGTTTGCGATGATAGCCAGTGGGCTGGCAATGCCGACCTAAGTCTCATGCAAGCATGGATTACAGACGAAGCCAACCAATCTCTCCTGCTAAAATGGACCTACCGTAAGAACATGGTTGGACCAGACCACAAAGTCAGCAAGGCCGTCAAGGAGATTCAAGGCATACAGGAAGAGCGATCCATCGATTGCATTCACACTATTGATGTTGGGGGGTTACAGGAAGCTGATGTTGGTGAAATGATTGCCGACACCTTGGATGTTGACGTGGAAAAGTCAAAGCAGTTGACCAAGATAATCCACCACAAAACTTGCGGGAACGTTTTCTTTGTCAGGCAGTACTTGCTGTCTTTGGCTCGAAAGGGATTTTTATCAATCAACATGGCTACCATGCGTTGGGACTGGGACGAGGAAGAAATCCGTGCTGGATCAACCGCCACTGAAAACGTAGTTGACTTGATGAAAGAGAAGGTTCAGCTATGCGCACCGGCACTGAAAATACTGCCGCTAGCAGCACTTCTTGGGGCTACGTTTGACACTGATGTCCTGGACAACGTCATTCAAGGGATGAAGGAGGCCGAATTGTCCAATGATCAACGGATAGCAGACATATTCTCGAATGCTCTTGGCGCATGCTACGGCAAGGATCTGGATACAGAGCAGCTGGAACACATTGAAAGAGAAGGCTTAATCGAAAAAGCTGGCGCCAATTGCTACTCTTTCATCCATGACAAAGTCATTGAAGGCTCCCTTGCTGTTATACCAGAAGATCAGCTGGACAATCTACGGTTTGGCATGGGCTTGGTACTCTTCGATCGACTGAAACCCATCGGAGATGCTAGCAAAAGGGCAGAGGAAAGTGCCTTTCTGCTGGTGAATCTGCTAAACGCTGGTCTTGGCGCGATTTCACCGCACCAAAAGCCGGTGATTTGTCAGCTGAACCTCGAGGCTGGGGATAAAGCGTTCGCGGCAGCGGCCTATTCGCGTTCGGCTGACTACTACGCTGCTGCCATCAAACTTCTTCCGCAAGACCATTGGGAGTCGATGTTCGACACCAGCATGCAGCTCTACATTGCGGCAGCTGAGTCTGAGATGTGCCTTGGTAACTACGAACACATGCAGGCTTATGCGAAAGGTCTCCTTGAGCGGGGCTTCGCCGTTTTGGACCAGCTACCAATGTACAAAATCCTTATTGATGCGCATACTTCCAAAGCAGAGTTACAGGAGGCGTGGTATTTGAATGATGACGTGCTGCGTCAGATTGGGTTCCAATTTCCCAGATCCGGGCTCAAAGCAAGGACTAAAGCTGCACTCTTGAGTCTGAAACTCACGAAAAAGAGATGGAAACCGGATGCCCTGAGCAAGCTTCCTGTGACTGAAGATCCTATGGATGAAGCGATCAGCCAACTGTCAGATTTCTTTATAATCGCAGTCCAAGCTGTCAGTCCAGACGGCTTCCATCTGGCCATCATCACCCACTGCAGGCACATACTGGATCGGGGCTTGAACAAATACGCCGCAGTTCCCCTCGCATGGCTCGGGCTGATAATCATCAACAAACTTGGCGACTTCCAATGGGCCAAAGAGCATGCTGAATTCACACACAATCTACTGCAAAGACTTCCGAATCGGCGGATCGAGACTCAAGTGGCTATGGTAACAAACATCTTCGTTCTTCACTGGACGGCCCCAATCCACAATTCGATCAATCCATTGATCGAGGCGTACTCTCGAGGTATGGAAACATGTGATCTGAGCAGTGGGTTCTGGTGCGCGCAGTTTTACCACGAAGCTTCACTTTACAGTGGCAAGAACTTGGCTCTTCTGCAGAGAGACGCTGAAATCTTTAGTAAACAGGAGAAGGACCACGGCATGTTGAAACACTTGGACTGCATACAGAGCGTTCTACAGCTCATACTGAACCTGAGAGGGCAGTCAAACAATACAATCATCCTGTCGGGATCTGCTCACGATGAACCCGCGGTGCTCGAAGCGCTCGAAAAGACACCGGACTTTCACCACTTGAGTCATCTACAGAAGGACCGACTCTTCGCTGCTGCATTTTTCAGCGAGTTCGAACATGGCGCAGATCTCGGTATGGCCAACGTTGAAATGATTTGCCATGTCCTAAGCGGTCAACATTCCACCTTGATAGCGCGGTTCGCTGCGGGCTTATGTTGCTTTGTCATGGCGAGAAAACGTAAGAAGAAATACTTGAAAGCGGCGCTGCAGAACCTCAGGGTGGTACAGACATGGTTCGAGAAGGGGAATCCAAATGCACAGCACTACCTTCTCTTTCTCAAGGCAGAAAAGGCCGTTTACGAAGGCAAGCAAGATCTGGCGCTGGCATTTTATGATCGCACGATTGTGTTGGCAGGACGATCTGGGTACAATCACGACAGAGCACTTGCCTGTGAGAGACGTGCTGAATACTTTGTTGAGCTCGGAGACAACGAGCGCGCCAAGCATGAATTTCAAGATGGCCTCCAGCTTTACGGAGAGTGGGGTGCGGCCAAGAAAGTCGAATTGCTGCGGGAACGCGTCCAGTGCTTGTTGCTCCCGTAGTGGGTGGAGACCCAATGGCAAGTAACCTTTTAGTGTTGCCGGCTCAATCCAATGGACTACATTCCTGCAAAGCTTGCCAGCATCAACGCAGCATCCACAACTCCAGCATTTGCAGAGGCAACATAGATCTATCAACTCCCTTGGAGAAAGGCAAGAATGCTTCCTCATCCATATCCACCTCAAAGAAGGCAGTGTTGACATGGATGCAGAGTAACTTGAGGGGAGATGTGATCAAGTGGGTGAATTCGTCCGCATTTTGTCAGTGTGGTGAGCGTAGTTGCTTGAGATGGCAAGAATGTCATTGGCAACAATGGTTCCATTCTCGGTGGCAGGAGAGAAGCCTCCCATGAGCTTGACAGTGTTAATCACAGTCACTCTGGTTGTCTTGGTAGTGGTGGAATGACCAGGCTCCATAAGGGACAAGTAGTCACCAACCTTAACATGGCCAGCCTCCGCAGGGTACTGCTGGTCATTGATGTAGATCATGTGCTTGGGGGTAATCTCAATCCTGTTTCCAGAGTCTGTGACAATCTCGAGGTACTTTGATTCCCTGGCCTGACTTGCAGCAAGCTTCTCAGGTGTCCTGTGGAGCCAAGCATATATCTTTTGGAACTGGAAAGAGGAAGTCAACACCAGGTCATTGAACTTCAGCTCATGCATTCTCTTGGGCCCCTCAGGTGTCATGGTCGTCATGGAGGCAGAGAAGCAGTCATAGTAGTTTCTGCAAACACAGGAACCTGGACACTGAGCATTAACATTCGTGTAGTCTCGGTACCTGCAGTGGGCACCACCACTCTCAAGAGGGTAATCACAATCTGTGTCTACATTACATGCGCAATGTTTGTCTCCCTATGTAGGGATACGATAGAGATTGGACTATGCCATTAAAACTGGAAAATGAAGGTTCTATAAACTAATTAAGGGTAGGAATAACAAGAAGTGAATGAGAGCTCTATAGATTACCGGCAACACGCGAGCGCAGTTGAGTGTTGCTTTCGTCCAATCTTCGGCCAGAAAAGAGCCCAACAGAGAATACACTGCAGTCATCTTCTTCATCATCACAATCCATCTGGAACTCTTGGTCTGGGTTAGATTTCATGTAGATGCCTTGGTAAAGAATCCTTTTGGGACTCCTTCCACCACTACCTCCTCCCCCTAGCTTCCTCCTGTCCGTATCCTCCTCTCTCTTGCTGACCCTACCAAGGTCAAGCGGGCGGGTGTACTCAACACCATAAAGAGTCACCACAGCATTGCAATGCTCCGAGTTCTCCTGGAATCGCCTGTACGCTCTGTGCACTCCACTCTTGGGAGCAGTGCCAAGGTACTCCCTTCCTTCTCCATCTAGCTGGTTTGACTTGTCTGAAGCTCCACCAACTGAATCTTGTAACTTCCTCGTGAGAATCCCGCGGGCAACAACCTCATCTACGTTGATGTGAATCAAGCTGGCTTCAGGCCTGGTTACTACCACTTCACCAGTGTGGGAGTCCACCAAATGTCCATGACTGTCCACTGCAACCTCCTTGGTGAGCGCCACCACAGCCCACACAAGACCAAAAGACATGGTAAGAAGCAAAACAAGTGCCACCAAAGACAAACCAAGTCCCTTTTTGAGGTTCTTCTTTTTCCCATGGGCCTTGTTCAGATCAGCCACAATTCTGAAGAGTTCTTGGGCATCAATCTTTCCATCACCATTGATGTCATACTTGACAAGGAGCTGTTCTTCATCGTCCAGGAATCCCTTGTTGCCACGATCAAACTTTGAGGACCTGACAGAGAGGCGTTTGCGGGGACCATCATTGTTTTCCTTTTGTTGTTGATCCGGACAGTTGGATGCGCTTTCCATACTTTCCAGGTCAGATGCAATCACTTCTTCAGTAAGCTTCATGTTGTATTGTTTTCTCTTGACTGTTGTAAATTTGTGATCCCAACAATGGCAGATGATTGAACATTCGATTGTTTAGAAGAGGCCCAACCGAAAATTACTCCGTGTGCTCCGAGTGGACCGGCGTCAAGACTGCCCACCGCAAAGCCTTCATGGCTCCACTATCAACTATCAAGCGGTCACAGATTGAATGTCCTTTTTAATTAGATGTTGGTGCTCTTTTTGAGCTACTACTCGAGCAGTACTCCAGGAGAGAGCAGAGTACTTTAAGAGAACTTTGCACAGACACAATAACATGTTCAGGGGTCTTTAAATCTACGGTATCGGTCCGGTCAACTACCTGGTACGATGTACCTGGTGGCACCGTACGGTGGATCTACGTGTGCCGGCTTACTAGTACCATGGTACCGGGAGACTGTCACTTTTATGATAAAAGGATCACTCGAACCTCGCACCTCGCCAATCGCCAATTGACGCAAACGCATGCCCGGTCCCGCTAGGACATTCGCAATCCCTTCTATTAATAGTAGTATCTAGCTAGCGGTACGTACCGGTACGGTGGTCCGCCTTCTCGCTCCAGCCATACCGGTAGCTACTCGTATCCAGATGAATGCTACAAGTACCTCTCCTTACAGCGGCTACACCTCTTTCATGACTCCTTCTACTATAGTACTAGTCCACCAGGTCAGGCTCCTCTTGTGTGGGTAGGATGGAAACAGTGGCAGATGCAGCCAGCTTCGACGACACTTCTATCGTTCGATGGATTCTGATTCGGTCAACGGATTCAATTCAATTCAATTCAATTCGGTCGATGACTGCTTCCGCGTTGGATGGTTCCTCTTTCACGGTGAACCGACCATGACGCCTCTACCATGCAAGTGTACCAGTGGCTGTTACAGCTATCAGTAATGGCTACTACTAGTGCACCTAGTGGCAGCTTGATATGTACGCTTGGATTGATCGGCACTTCGGTTCGATGCTTCTTCCGGTCGACGCATCTTTCACGGAGCGACCATGGCTCCTACTCATGGAGCGGCCATGAAGCCTTCGCCAGTGCTACTATAGAACCAACAAGTGACAGCTTCTCTGCTACGATACTTTTTGACTTGTTGTCTGACTACAAATACGGTTTGAAATCTGCTCAAACTTTGCCACCATGGAGCCAACAATCCCTTTTGAAACCTGTGGTTGGTCCTCCGGGTATCATGCAAAGCCACCCATTCATTTACATTTCTCTAGAGTGCAGATTGGGCGCTTAGAGTGATGGTTTTAGCACCTTTCCCATGGAGAATGGCAGAGTGACAACAAAATGGATTCCAAGCCTGATTTTCTTAGAGGCTCACTGACGCGACTCGGAGATAGCTTAGGACTTTCAAGGGGTGGCTCTGTGAGTGTGTTGGGGAGCTAGCTTTCTGACAGAGTGAGCTAGCTAGACCAATGTATTGGTAGAACTAACTGATGGCGGGTAAACACTGCTGTTGCCATGGAGGTACAATTGAATCTTTCTTTGACCTTTTCTTTCTTCTTCCTCTGCGGAGCCAACCAGTCATTTTCGCAAAATGTCCTTTTACATTTATGGGTTTGAGAGGCAAGATACCATTGACCACAATGGTTCCATACTCCGTGGCATGGGAGAAGCATCCCATGAGCTTGACAGTGTTAATGGCAGTCCCTTTGGCTGGCTTGGTGGTAGCGGCATGCCCAGGCTCCATAAGGGACAAGTAGTCACCAACCATAACATGTCCAGCCTCCACGGGGTACTGCTGCTTTGTACTGATGTTTGTGCGTGCTTGGGAGTGGAGTCATCTCAATCTTGTTTCCAGTGTCTGTTGCATCTGGAGGTGCGGCACTCTTGATTCTCTGACCTGACTTGCAGCAAGCTTCTCAGGTTTCTTGTAAAGCCATGCAGAGACCTTTTGGTTGGAACTTGCCAGAGAAAGTCGACTCTAGCTAGCTACGGTAGGTCATTGGCATCACCACGTACTATAGAATTGCACCGAAATGCTTCCTCCTCTTGCTTCGTAGCATGCGGGTCTTCGCCTCCAATGCTGCCGTCCTGGGGTATCCTCATGTGACGGTAGCTACATGTATGGAGACTGTCAAACAGTGTGCAGTTTGAGTGACCGGTGGAGCCCAGTCGAGTCTCTAGCTACGGTAGAGTGACAGTCAAGTGGTGCAGTAGTTCATCCAACACCCGATCCTGATGAGACGTCCCTTGCCTGTGGTAGCCGGTAAAAACTGCGCTGCATACAGTAATCTGGAGTGGAAAGTGGCGCGATGCTCACCCGTACCACTGCCTCATGCTTTTTTCACCACTGCTGAGTGCCATTTAGACAGCACGTTTACAGGATGCCAAGCGAACAAAAAAGAATTATATCTTCTGTTTTGTATTTAGGCCGCAACAGTTGCAAGTGTGACCTCGACGCATGTCTCGATTTCGATCTTTTGGGCTTCTTGGGTCTTGACGGGAGGCTTCTCTGCATTCGTGTTCTTCTTGGTTTCTCGTTTCTCACTATTTTTTGGTGATTCAACAAAGTTACTTCAACGGAAACAAAAAAGGAGCAATGGCAAGCCCTTCATCTAAAGACAATGGAGAGGCGACAACGAAAGTTGGGAGAGGTTCCTTAGCAGTGGTGCTTGGATTGGGCGCTTGCGCCTGTCTTGGAGCTGCATCTCTCTTCGAAGGAAGTAGCGAGAATAATGCTACCCAAGTTAACAACAGCCCGGTACGCCGTCGCGTTCTTCAAGGAGAAGATGCCATGGCAACCTTTCGATCCACTCTACCCGACTACACCTTGACCAATTTACAGAATTCAGCTTCACCTCAGAGCCAAGCCTTTGACTGGCTATCCGGAATTCCCAATCTGGATACCTCGGATACCACGCGCATGACCCAATTGTTTGCCATGGCCACCATTCATTATGCTCTGGACGGACCCAACTGGAGCCGACAGTCCTTGCGGGGCCCAAATGACTTTCAGTGGTTGAATTATTCGCACCCCGAGTGTTATTGGGATCCACAGTGGACTCATGCCTGTGACCAGAATGGACACTTGGTGAATCTGAATCTCGACCATGTCCACACCGACGCTACCAGCTTGGCCATGCCCGCCGAAATTGGACTCTTGTCGAATCTGTACAGTGTTTCGTATCAGGTCGAAATGGATGTGACCGTAGAAGATCTACTGCCTCCCCAATTTTTTACACTCCCCAAAGTCCAATCCATTGCCTTGTCGACTGTGGGAGGGACGCTCTCCTCCGAAATTGGAACTCTCTCCAACCTCAGGTCACTCGCCATTTACCATGCTGAAGAACTCGCTAATAGCAACACCTATGGACCACTCCCAACAGAATTGGGTTTGCTTACCAACTTGACGGAGATTAACCTTGTTAATACTGGTTTCCAAGGCCCACTACCCAGTGAACTAGGACAACTTGACAAGCTCGGAAGAATTGGAATCACCGGAACGGGCCTTCAAGGAGCAGTCCCTAGTGAGTTGGGTTTGTTGAGTAGGCTCACTACCATTGCTCTGGTCAACAATCCTGGCATCAACGCAAGTCTCCCCAGCGAACTGGGAATGCTCTCTCGTCTTTCCGGCATTGACATGCAAGGCAACTCTCTCAGCGGTCCCATCCCCAGTGAACTCGTTGGCTTGACCGATGTATCCATTTTAGATCTTTCCCGAAACAAGTTGGCGTCGTCCATTCCCTCCGAATTGGGACTTGCCACGGACCTCCGGCGCATCACCATGGAAGACAACCAAATCGTTGGATTAATTCCGAGCGAAATGGCACTGTTGACGCGATTGACCGACCTGAACATGGCTCACAATCGTTTATATGGCTTGCCAAGCGAAATCGGGCTGGCGGTCAACTTGGACCACTTGAATGTGGGCTACAACGAAATCACGGGATTGCCGAGTGAAGTGGGTCTTCTCACCAGCATCGAGTCCTTTGATGCCAGCCACAATGCCATTATTGGGGAACTTCCCACTGAAATTGGTCAGATGGGTCCAAGTGCGGGACGTAGAATGTGGGCATTGGATCTGTCCTTCAATTCGATCAACGGGGTGCTGCCCAGTGAAGTTGGTTTGATGGCCCGCCTCAGCAGTTTGGATTTGCAAAACAACAATATTGCCGGACCATTGCCGGCATCCATCGGTATGCTCTCGTATTTGCAAGAGCTTGATTTGTCTTCCAATTCCTTGTCCTCCTTCGTTGCGACGGAAATTGGACTCATGGACGGCTTGAAAAAGCTGAATCTTTCGAGCGCTTCTCTTATTGGCGACATTCCCTCCGAAATGGCATTGATGACGAGTCTCACCGATATTGACCTGTCCAACAACCCATCCTTGTCGGGACCAATTCCAGAAGTGCTTTCGGATTTGGTGTTGGTGCATGATTTGCAAAACATGGATGTTACCGGCAACGCCTTTCTCAGTGGTGAGGTGCCCAGTGGTCTTTGCGAGCTGAATAGTGTCAACCGGACGTATTGTGATCAGGGCGGACGTTGCGCCTTTTCATTTGACTGTGGCCAACTCTGTGGTTGTGGAACCTGCGCTTGCAACGGTGGAGAAGTCAGCCGCAGTGGTGATGTCTTTGATGGCTCACCCTAAAGAGTAGCCAAAAGCAATGGATTGTGATCGGCAGGTAGCCAGCCATGCCGCAACAAGGCAAGGGGGAACTCAACATTCCAGTTCCCAACACTCTCCATGCATGTTACATGTACTTCAGATATGAGTTGTCCTGTCAGTTCCTCCATGGCCAGAAATGCGAGTTCCAGCTGGGATGAAACAGAACGATGGGATCAAGAGATGGGATGTTCATTACATCCCACAAATAGAACAAGGATGCGGGTAACGATGAATGCCGAATAGTTCTAAACGTAGAAAATGCATAGAATTACTACATTCCCTGTTGTGGTGCTTCCCTGCTTACGTTTGTATCTTTAGAAGTATGTCTTCCTTCTGTTGATCTTCGCCCCCACAATTGAAGCAGCTTTCAGCCCAGAACAGTGAACCAAAGCAAATTGTCGCCCACCGCTTCAAGTTATCTTTCCTCGTCTTGTCAATGCATCATTGTGACAATGAGGGCCAAAATGGTTGTCAAGACCCTGATGCTGCTGGTTGTCACCGTGGAGGTGGCGCTCGATGACATTGTTTCTGCAATAAAGACATCACTGGTGGAGACAGTGGGCCACTGCGTCTCAGTGGGCCATAGCGTCGGAGTGTCTGTGTCCGGTTCTGCTGGTTGCCACAACGTGGACAAATCAATGGTCCACACATCCGATTGCAGTGTCTTGGTTTCTCGATCATATCCACTGGTAAAGTAGACCCTGGCGGTACCTCGCATGACAAAGGAGCCTGGAGCCCATCGAGAGTGCCCCGGATGGGGAGGCAGCTGTTGCCAATGCTTCGTTTCTGTTGTGGATGCCGGATAAAAGGCATGAAATTCTCCAGTTTCCATGCTCCCGTGATCATCTCCATCTCCCGACAAGACAAATCCAATTGCTCCTTGCAGTGAGTTGTCTGGCTGTCCTTCCAGTGGCAAGACAACGGAAAATTCCGTCCCAGCCACCCTGGCTTCGGTTGTCATGAGTGTATCGTCGACATAGGATGCAAAATCAACCTCTTGCACCCATTGCGAATTGTCGTCGGCATGGAACGAGTAGAAATCTCGTTCAATATAAGGATCTTGTCCATCCGAATGCCCCAAACCAGTGTAACTAACGGAACCAATGCCAAAAAAGAAGGGATGATGCCGTCGACTTGCTGGAAAGTCGGGTAGCCGATCCCATTCATCTTTTGCGACATCATAGGCCCAGTAGTCGTTGAGGTTGGTGAATTGATCCGGATCATTGCCCAAAAATCCATCTCCCAATCCTACATGCAATTGCCACTCTCCCGTCGACAAGAGCACTGGAACCATGGAGGGATGGCGTCGGCCCATTCCAGGGAGTGAAGAGAGCTGCTTCCATTCATACGTCGTCATGTCAAATTCCCACAAGTCATTCAATCGTTGTCCATTAGCCGCTGCTCCAAATCCCAAATAGGCCTTGGGATGCTTCCATTGGTTCAGTACCACGCCATAACCAAAGGATCGTGGAGTCCAAGGTGGCGTGGGAAGACGAGTCCAAGTGTCGGTGGCTTCCTCGTACAGATAAAAATCGTTGGCAGCACTTTCGTTGAGCGTCGTTCCTCCAAGAAGAAAGCCGTGTGTTTCGTTGGAAAATACAATGGGATGGTGTCTACCGAGATTCTCGTCACCGAAAGCGTTATAGGAGGAGCGTGGTTGCCACTCCATGGCGACAGCTAAGAATGGCAGCACCAACGCTGTCAAGATCGAGCTTTTCAGGATCATGTTGTTGGTTTACCTTTTATTTGCTGCTGATTGCATCTATGGCTTTTGGCTTGGGTTGACTTGGTCAAGGGCAGGATGATTGTGCTGGGCACCGAGGTTTTATATACCGGGCAGACCCCGGTGATCTCTGACCCCGTTTATTGTGGTGGTGGTGGGTTTGGTTGGTTGGTTATCCTTAGGGTTAGAGATTTACTTCAACCCCCTCGTTCTCACGCGTTCTCATAATAATCATACGGTAGCAACGGATCCTAAAATTTTCCTCATGATGCCCACCTCTAAACTCCCGTAAGCTACCACGCCACTTTCTCAGATGGAAAAATCTAATGACTCACGTTGCACACCTCTAAACTCCCGTAAGCTACCACGCCACTTTCTCAGATGGAAAAATCTAATGACTGGCCTTGCACACCTCTAAACTCTTGTAAGCTACCATGCCTCTTTCTCAGATGGAAAAATCTTACGTCTCACGTTGCACACCTCTAAACTCCCGTAAGCTACCACGCCACTTTCTCAGACGGAAAAATCTTACGTCTCACGTTGCACACCTCTAAACTCCCGTAAGCTACCACGCCATTTTCTCAGATGGAAAAATCTAACGTCTCATGTTGCACACCTCTAAACTCCCGTAAGCTACCACGCCACTTTCTCAGATGGAAAAATCTAATGACACTACCTTCAGCCAAACTTTAACAATATTATTATGCCGGCCCATCTTTTAATTCAGCTCGCCCGGTATATCTATTACACCTCCGGTGTCCTTTGTGTCTTCCGATTTGGTGGATGAGTCGAGTCGAGTCATTCCTGCGAAAAAAGATTAACTGAATCATGAGTGGAGTGAAATCTTACTTGAGTGACGAGTCACGCCAATCGTCGTTAGGCAGACACAGGTCCCACATGCTGTACTGTACTCGATTGTCGTGGCAGAAAGGATCTTGTGCTTGGTGGCGCGAAGGTTTATCGTCCAGGGTCTGCAAGGATCTTTGGTAAATTAAAGGCCGTGGCCATGCATCGGCATGGCAAAATAGTCTTTTCAGTTTGCTTTGCTCTACGAAACCATCAAAAATCGGGAAAGAGATCCACGTGCTGTCCTAGTTATCCGGTTGTCTCTCATGTCTTTCTCTTTCTCTCAGATTATTACACAACATTGGGCATGGGAAAGGTCTAACTTCCACCCAAAACACTGGCATGTGGTTGGTACAAGTCTTACTGTGTAGTTGCATCCCTCCACGTTCTGGAAGTGTGAGAGGACATCATTCTCAAGCATCCGCCACAGCAAAATCTGTGGAGAGTAGCGGCAGGAGCTTTTGGATCTGAAAGGCTGTTTCCACCTCTACAAAGTTGTCCACGTTAGCCTTGATGGCTGTTCTTGTGTTATCCTCAGGGTTGGTTGTCTTAATTGCAGTTGTCCTATCATTTGTTCCTTCCAGAACTGTTTGAAATTTTGCCTTCGTTTCTTCGGCTTTTGGCGCGAGATTACGGTAGCTTTGAAGTCCGTGGATACCTTTGATGACCAAGGTTTTGGGAAATTCAATCAGCTGCTGCTGGCTTTCTATTTCTGTGACTCATAATTTGTGAGTGACTCAGTCTCCACCAATGAAACTGCCAGCTGTAGGCAATTCTCGCACTTCAAGTGCATTCGTCAGACACCGTGGCAATTGAGCCTCCACATCAACAGTGTTTTCTATCTCATCATCGACAAACCACACCGTTGTCAGGTTTGGGACTGGCGCATCAATTCTCACTCGCTTTGATTAGTCTACTGAGCTATTGGTTATTCACAAGTAACTGTCACAAATCATGTCCACTACTGGAACAAAACGAAGAAAGCGACCCACTACTACTACTAACAATACAACGATGGACTCATCTACCAGCAGCAAAGTGCTCTTCATGGCCGCCGCGAGTTTGGCAACCACATGCGACGCCTTTTCCATGGTGGCGCCCCCTCTTGTCATGTCGTTAGCACGGCCGTCTACTTGGAAAACGACTGCCTTGCATCATCCACTACCACCTGGCCTCGAGCCCGAAACCGCCACGTTGGCACAAGAGATCCTTCGAGGAACACCATTCTTGGCAGATCCTTCGCACATTCCTCAGTTTGCGGAAGTAGAAGAACAAGAAGAAGAAGAAAGCACTTGGAGATGGAGAAAGGACAGCAAACGGAACAAGAAGAAAGACACCAAGGCAAAAGACGCCAAGAAGAGGAGCAAGGTATCTCAGAAGAAGGTAGCCATTGACGGCAAGACGTCCACAGCCCCTACTACTGCTGCAAAAACGATCAGCCACAACAACGTGCTGCTGCGAGAAGTGGCCGACTTTTTGGTACAAGAATTTGACAATCAGCAAGTGGCCAAAGGACGAGTACTCATGGCTGGCGCACAAACGGGACAGACCATGGATGACGTTGTCTTTGCCCAGGACAGTCTGCAGGATCTGTGGAGAGTAGCAGGCGAAGCCGTTGTGGATTTTGGGCTCTACGATCAAGCGCCAGGGCTTTCCTTGTTGGATCTCAATGGGGCTGTTTCTCTCATGATGGAAGAGGATGTCAACTAGACATATATTATTATGGAATTGGTGTGATGAGATTAGATGATTGAACAACACACCACCAAGACATTATTAGAACCAACGAGGAGAAGGATAGAGGAATCCTGATTTGCCGTCATGACACGTCTGCTCTGGCACACCCAAAGGATGATGGTGATATGAAGAACGATTAAACGCGTGGACCAGAGCAATGCATCCTATAAGACCAAGGAATCAAAAGGCATGAGCGTCATCCTCAAAAAATAGAAAGACAAAGAGACTGATGATAAACCTATAAACACGACGGCATTACTTGAAATTACAATGAACCACTGAGTATTATTAGATTAGCTACATGTAGTTAATTTTGAAGCCTAAAGGTGGCTACTAGCTAGCTTATAAGACATCCCTACTAAGGTAGTACGGTACCAATATACGGAGACGGCAAGCGACTGCCTCACGACTTGTTGGAACCGACGCAATCTTACACGTGTCCCTGTGCGCTTATTCCTTCCCATCAATGGGGGTCCACGTCCCACCTGGCGAATCGCGGATCTTCTCCCAAAGAGCTCCCAAGGCGATGATGCATTCTGTGGGAAAAAGGTAAGGGTCGTGGATAGGAATCGGTACTAGCGCAAGGCATCACTGGGAAGGAAATGAATGCCCTTGGTTGCAATGTCTGTGCTGCTCGCCAGTCCTTCGACCGAGTTGAACGAGCTATGCTGCCCCACAGGCTCTGCATTGCGGAAGTTGTCGCGGGGAGCCGGTCTCCGACCCAACTCCATTTCTTGCCCAAACGCCTGATCGAATTTGCTCAAGAGGTGCCCGTGTCGGTAATGGCAGAGGAGCCGCCGTGTTGGTCGACTTTGGGGGTTGCAGCAGTCTCCCAAAATACTCGGTCAGATCACCAACCGTGACAGGCTTGTGAATAACATCCACCATGCCGCTGGCAATGCATCGTTCGTGCAAGTCGGGGCTCGTGTCGGCTGTCAGACCAATGACCACGGGATGCCGTCGGAGATGATCCATCTTGTGAAGCGCAACGCTAAATTCAAGGCCAGACATGCCAGGTGGCATTTGCAAGTCGCTAATCACAATGTCAAACACCTCCTGATCTTCGAAGCGTTTCAGCGCCTCTTCCCCAGATTCGGCTGTTTCCACCGACTTGACACCAATCTGACGAAACATGCGGCTGAGTACCTTGCGATTGATGAGGATATCGTCTACGACGAGGATACGGAGACCCGATGTCAGATTGTGGACAATTGGGGTGGCCTTGGGTGCTTGGGTCGTTTTTGCAGTCAAGGATGTTGATACCTGCGACTCCTTTCGATCGGAACATTCTCGTGGACGTTGCTGATGAGGAACAGCCTTCGTTCCATTTCTGTTTGCAGCTGGATCCTCATTGGAAACCAGCGGCAAGTAGAAGGAGAATGCAGAACCGGGGCCATCTGTATTGTTGTCGACCCAGATGTCACCCTTCATCAAGTGAACAAACTTTTGGCACAAATTGAGTCCCAATCCTGTACCGCCTGGTTGCCCAGTCTCAGCCAGAACGTTCTGCTGCTTGCTGTCGAGTTGAGCAAACTTGCGAAACATTCGCTTTTCTTGCCCGGGGGCAATGCCCAGACCAGCATCAACCACCGAGACGACCAGGACACGGACATCATCGTTCCTCGAGTTGCTCTCGCTGCAGAAGAATTCATTGGATTGATCACGTCCACAGGCCAAGGCAGCCTTTGCCAAGGCGCGCGTCTCCCCCAAAGTACTTGTCCTGGACTCGATACGGATTGTGCTGCCTGAGGGTGTGTACTTGATTCCATTGGAGATCAGATTGATGAGTACCTGGAAAGGTACAGGACAGGAGGGCCAAGTACGTGAACAACGATTCATTCTATGGCAATTTGCCTGCCGGAGGACTACTCTTGAAACTTACCTGTTGCAGCCTCAAGTCATTCGCCATGACAACGGCATGCTCAGTACCCTTGTGCTGTATATCAATCTCAACACCTGATATCTTGGCCAATGGCCTACAGAAATCAGCTGAATCTTGAAGTGGAGACTTTGAAGAGGTTGGAGAGAGCTGAAACTTGTCCATCACTTGCAAGCACAAACGTCACACTCGGGTTAGTTAGAGTCCAGTCTCTTGAGCAAAGACACCGCGTTGTGAAGAACGCTAACTTACTGTGAGAGTCAATCTTTCGAATGTCCAATAGGTTGTTGATCAACACCAGAAGCAAACTGGAGCTGGCCATGATCAAGTCCAACGAATCCATTGCTTGGTCAGGCAACTGGAACGATGCATCACATCGCAGCATACTGCAAACTCCCATGATGCCTTGCAAAGGCGTCCTCAGCTCATGGGTGAGTGTTTCCATGGACTCTTTCATGACTTTTGCCATCAAAGCGTCCTTCTCAGCTGCAACCTGAGCCCTTTCGAGCGCCTGCGCCTCAGTGATATCCTTCAAGGCAACGACAAAGTGGTCCGGTGTACTCTGCTGTTGATCAGCACTCAGGGAGGTCAGCTCTGCTGTAACCACCGTGTGAAGACCCACCTTGAGCATGATTGGGTCTCGACTGTTTGTTCGGAATGCGCCTGATAGCTTTTGCCTGTCATCCAGAGAGAGGGAAAGGACGTCGAGGATGCTTCTGTGTTCTAGATCCTTCTCTTTCATCCCAGAGAGTTTCACAAGAGCAGGATTGAGCCAAATGATGTTCTGGGTGGAGTCCGTGATCGCAATAGCAGTTTCACTGGCTTGAAGAGCTCGTCCAAACATGTTGAGGCTCCGGTCCTGTTGTTGCAGCTGACTTGTCCGTTGCTGGACCAGTGTTTCCAGCTTTTCATTCATGTCTATGTTCTTGCGGAAAGCTCCAATAGCCGCCAAGCCCACGGCAAAGACAAACCCTGCCTTAACGGCCAAAAAGGCAATGTTCATCCCCACGGCACTGTCCCCAAGCAAAAGTGCCTCTGCTTCAATTGTGGCCACATCTGCTAGCAAGTTGTGTACAAAGACACCTCCCAAAACCAGTCGTGCTCCATGCATGGTCAAAAGCTCCGGATTCAGCTTGGGACACATGTTGACCAGGATGCTAGACTTCCCCTCTCCACATGATGACGACGATAATACCAGCCAATGCACGAGAATGTGAAGGAATGTTGCAGCCCCAATGGTCCTAAAGGCAAGAGGCTTGTCCAGGTTGACTTCTTCTGGTTTCATACAGGCTGCGAAGACACCAGTCAAAAACAAGAAGATGCTAAGACCCGCAGTGACACGAAATGGCAGACCAAGGTTGGCATTGAGCATCACATAGAGCCAGATCATCATGGGGATCAACGGACTATCATCATATCGTGGCACATTGAGCACGTTCATGGAACAGATCGTTGCCGCATTGCAAATGGTTGTGGCAATTGTCATTATCATACTATCGGAAAAGCAGCTGCAAAACCCAACCGCACCGGCAACGAGATGGACTGCAGCTACAAAGTAACTAGGTCTATCATCGCATTCAGGAATCACAAGGGCGAAGCAGAGTGTTGTAAAGGTTGCCGCAGCTACAAAGTCCCCTGCTTTGTATATATTCGGCATGGTTCTTATTTTGTTGTCGAAAGGAAATTATGAAAGAGGAGGGTGGAAAGAGGTGCCTGTGTGTCACAGGCTGGATGCTGGATGTGCCAAACTTGCGAAATCATCCACATGGTCCAACAATCGGACTGGTATTCTGAACTTCTTTACTGGTATCCCTTTTTGCCTTTTTGTCTTTTGTTCACGGGTGAGGTTCAAGGGGCAGTTGATCTCACCACTGTAGTAATATCTGTACCAACGACCGTCATTGCAACGTAGTACACCCACTCTTGTTGACAACTCCAACTCAGTCATTCCATTAAATCAGAAAAATCACTGTGTACTCCAAGAATTAAAAAGAAGCAAATCTAGAGCTACCTCGGTAGCTACACTTAAGAGTCTTTCTCCGGAAACCTGACAGAACAAGCCTGAACTCGTAAAAAAGGGAAAGGGGCAAAGGGGCAATTTTTGGCATCTCCGACCGCCTCCGCCAATCGCCAAGCTGACGAACTCTGAACTCTGAACACTACTACTAGTAGCTAGTGCCTGGCAGTGTTGTGTCGACTGCTGTCCGCAACTGCGGACAATGAGGTCTGCTGCGGCGGAGGCCGTCACTCATGCTACAGAGCACCATTGTGGTCGCTTCCAGGATCAAAACAGTAGTAGACATGTAGGGCTAACTGCAGATACAATCGCATTGACTATTGCTTTAGTAGTTGTAGAGATATCAACACCGGCAGTGTGCCCATTGTCGCAACAGAAATGAAGTGTCGACAACTGTGGACCAAATAAAGTTCCCAATAAAACCTGACTTTTCGCCAAAATGCACCGGCCGCAAACTGAAAGGCAATGGAAGCAGGTTGTCGGGTGCAGCTGCAATAGGCTGCAGTTGTTGTCATTCTTGTGGTTGCACTCAAGCTCCTCCAAACAGGATGTCGCGGCGCTTCTTCTCAGCAAGCTTGACAGCCTCAGCCATGATGTGTCCTCCGTCCAAAGTCATGTTGATTTGAATTTTCTTAATGCCAAACATGCTGGGGGGGAACTCAAGACAGACAACCTTGCCAAGACGGTTCGAACTCACCACAGTCGCATCCAACTCTGTTGTCGTTGTCCACTTGCATGTGACGGGAATCCGGATACTCTCAAAGTAGACTGCATCACTCATTCTTGTACCATCCAAGGAAACCCGACGAGCCTCCACAAGGAATCGAAACCGAGGAATGCACTTCTTCTTATCGTGACGCTGCTGCAAAGTAACTCGACCCTTGGAGTGGTGCTTGGATCCAATGTACATCTCCCATCGGATGGATGCCATTGCATGGGCTTGTCGAGGAAGCTCTTTATCTGCTTGGTGGTAGCAGATGGGCTTCGGAGCTCCCTCTCCATTGGTGGGATGGGGCACTTCAACCGCTGTCCAAAACTCAGCCATCGTGGAAAATGAGGATGGGTGGCTGCATGTCGTCTTCTCTCTTCGTCTTCTCTCTTCTGTCAAGTGTGGAGTGGCCCCAGCTCCATATTTTCTGGTTGGTTTGAATCGATTTCCCCGCCCAATCAAGTTTGGAGGGAAGAATTTTCCTTCATGTGCCAGAAATTTGGGGCTCCGACCGCTCGGACTGGCCAAGTTTTGGTGTGAACAAGGAAGCGAGAGCCGATGAGCACGATCACACAAATGCAGCTCAACAGCTCAGCAAAGCAACAAAGGAAGCAGCTTACCATCATGTCTACCAACAAGTCCAACGAGAAACCGATCAAAATGGCCATGTCCCTCGATGGGGCCAAGTCTGTCAAGATTGAAGAGGATGATGTCATTGTTTTCACCATGGAGGAGGGCCCTCCCATCGAACTCAAGTTTGTCATGCCTTCTGTCCACAAGCAAGGATACCAGACCCCCATGGTGAACACCAAAGCCAAGGCCAAGGTGGGATTTCTCAGTCCGGCGGACAAGAGCAACAAGAGCGAAAACACCCCCATGCCCTTCGCATCTCCTTCCATTTGCGACAGCAGCATGGGATCACCCTCTCCTTTCAAGAGTTGCTTCATCGATGGCTCCAATCAGGGATTCACCCAGGAAACGTCTCTTCTCCATGCATCGGAACTCGCCTTGGATTGTGAAGAAAAGCACGAGAAGCCTCTCGCTGAGATCCTTGCTGAACTTGGCTTCGACGACTAAGCTACCTGCGGCTTCACAAGACCAGTAAGTATATCATTGTGCACTGACAAAAGAGCGGAGATACAGACAGCAGCGCCATCTTTGATCGAAGTGAAATATTGAACGGATCGATAGCGTTAAACGAAAATAAGCAAAGTTGCCATTTCAATCGGATCGAATCTTCCGCTAACTCGCGTAATCCGGCATATCATCATATCCAAAACGTATATAGTAATAATGATGGGTACGGATTTTGCTTAGAGAAAATTGCCGCCAACCGCCCATCCACCACTCAAAGAATTCGATATTTCGCATCCAACATCTGGAATGAAGAAAGAAGATACAATCCGAAAGGTGCGCTTCAGAATCGATGGCACATGGCAATGGACACCTCATGCGACGGAAGAAAACTCTTCAGACTTTAAGAGTCCCTTTGACAATGTTATCAACGGATCTTCACTTGCCGTGCCAGCCGCGGCTGACAGCTCGCCTCTTGGCGTCGTTGGCTCATTTCGTTGTTCGTTTCGGCTTTGTACACTCCAATCAAGATGACGAACCGGCGCCTTGGCAAGGGTGTGAAGGTGATGATCAAGTCCGGCAATGTGCCTGCCATCATCAAGGAGGCAGCGGGTGAGAAAACATGGCTTGTCTTTCCTGTGGATGAGACCGGCAAGACAATTAATCCCGATGGGTCGGGGCGAGTTCTGAAATCCCAACAATTGCGGCATCTCAAGGCTGGAGAGACATTTCCGGAGCCCCAAGAGCAACCAGGCAAACCAAAGGCAACGAGTACTCGACAGCCAAAGAAGAAGAAGCCAACAACAACAGAAACGGAGCCTCCGAAAAAAGCAGCAGCCAAGGCTCCCAGCACCGAGGCTTCGGATCCCACGGCTTCAACAATCGAAGTGTCCCCACAACCTCGACCATCGGCAGCCAAGAAGTCTTCACCAGCAGAAGTGCAACCTCCACCTGTGGTAGTCGTCGATTCTCCCAATGAGCCTCCCGCGGCTTCGTCCCCACCAAAACAGCAAGTCGTTGTGGAGGATGTGGATTCCGAATCTGAGAGCGACGATGACGAGCTTTTCTTAGCAGGAGTCCATCGTCGGCGTGCCAAACTGGCAGCAAGGAAGGCGGAAGAATCAAATAAGGCATCCCTCAAGTCATCCGACAATGAAGTCGAAGTCATCCAATCATCCGACGATGGATCTGTCCAATCAGCCAAGTCATCCGACAATGAAGGCGAAGTCATCCAACCATCCGACCATGGATCCGTCCAATCAGGCAGCACCACTTCATCCTTCCAGTCACAGAAGCAAGCATCTGTCCAGTCATCAAACAATTCGTTTGTCCACGGAAGTGTAGGAAGCAACAACAGCAGCCTTCCCAATAATGTTGAAACCAGTGGCAGCGAGGACTCTGGCGACGTTTGCGAACCCACGGATCAGAGAATGAGTGAAGATTTCCCCCAGCACAATGGGGTTGACCTCGTGGATGAAGATGGCCAACCAGTGCTTGACCCCAATGATTTGTTAATCATTGAAGGAATGGAGGATGAGGACAAGTACGCAAAGAAATGGAGAGAGTATGAAGAAGAGAAGGCTCGGCTCCTTCGTGAAGGATGGACTGTGGAGCGAAAACCTCCAATGTCTCAGTGCATCGACGTTACGGAAAGAGTCAAGGAACGCTTTGGCCGGCAGCGAACTGGAACAGTCCTCGAGAGTGACCGAGAAGATGGTGGTCCACCAACTTGGGTTATCCAATTTGATGATGAGGCAGAGCCATCTACAAAGATTCCATCCACATCCTTGACTCTCATACGAGATATGCGACGCATGACTTGGAAGCTTGTGGAAGATTCCCATCCTGAAGGTACCACGGCTGTTCCTTTTCAAGTTAATGGCGTTGTTGACTTCGATTTCCGGTCGTTCAACATTGACAACCTGGACGCCGCCGTGGATGGTGAGTATTCCTTCCCTTGGCTCAGGTTGTTGCAGAAACTGTGGCCAGGCAATTGGAGGGAACATCGTTACAACCTCAACGCTGCCATCGGAGCACACAACAGAGTCAATCCAAAGCGAAAGATTTCCTTGGTCTCCGAGAAAGAATGGTGGATAACGTGGGGCATTATCTTTTCGGCTTGCCCAAACCACACAGGTGGAGAGAAGCTCTTCAGAGACAGCAGGCATCCACGGAGAGTGACTGCTCCTTTTGAGTTTCTCATTGACAAGTCCAAGTTCGACGGCAAGGGCAATTTCAAGAAGTACATGTCATGGGACCGATTCAAGAAGATCAAAGAGCGACTTTTCAGAGCATTTTACAGTGACGATGCTGATGTTACCGATGCTTGGCATCCTTTGACTCAATTGGTGGACGATTATAACAAGGTCCGAAAGGAATTGGTTGCCGGTAGCATTGTCATTGTGCTCGATGAAGGAATGAGTGCTTTCCAGCCAAGGAAGACCAAGACCTCCAAGCTTCCGAAGCTTTCTTATGTCAAGAGAAAGCCCAAACCTCTTGGTACCGAATTCAAGATGACTGGGTGCACGGAAACTTTGATGACGCTCTTTCTTGAAACCCAACGAACCGTCCCAGAGATGAGAAGTGCCAAATTCCATAAAGAAGTAGGAGCCACTGCCGCATGTACTCTCCGTTGTGTCCTTGGCGGAATCAACACAGGGCTGGCAATGGCATCACGACGGAATGCACTTGAAACGGGCAGGAAGCATCTTGTTATCGCTGACTCGTGGTTCGGAAGTGTGAAGGTTGCGGAAGCAATGAAGCTTCTTTGGAGAGTTCCGTCGACTGATCCAAGCAACGACAGAGAGGGAACTTACGTCTTGGACCCCGAGAGAGGAGAGAATCCGCATGCGCCTGAAATCATTGCTGCTGTCATTGCCAACTATGGTTGGTTTCCTTTGAAGCAGCTGGAGGAAAAGATGAAAAGCTTTCCAGCTGGCTCACATCTTGTGATGGAATGCACCACACCAAAGCACAACATCAAGCTTAAAGCCATTGGTTACAAATGGAATTCAAGGAATGTCAAATGCTTTGTAATGACGGCGAATGCTGCCTCTACTTTTCCCTCGCAGAAACCTTACATTGCGAAGTTTACAGATAAGTGGCAGAACGTTTGTCAGCGAAAGGTGCCTCGGCCTGACGCCATTTCCATCTATTTCAAGCACAGCAACGTCATCGACAAGCATAACCATGCAAGACAAGGTTTGCTTGGATTGGAACGATACTGGCGAACTCCGAACCCATGGATGCGCACCCAGTTCACTATTGTTGGAATGGCAGCAACCGACTGCTATAAAGCAGTGAGGTATCATTGCCCCCATTTGAGCGACTTGCCAGTTGAAGAGTTTGCCGACTATTTGGCCTACGATTGTATTCACAATCCCTACAGCGATGATGCCAATAGCCAAAACCCTCGAAGCTATCTTGCTCCAGATGTCGAAAGTAAGTCATCAGCCTGTTTTTGTTACCATGCTCTGCTCCTTGTCTTAACTGTGGATTACTTTGTTACCTGACAGGGCGATCGAATACGTGGATGGACCACGCTGCTGCAACTGTGGAAGGGTTAACATTGTCCTGCTGCTCACCGGCCAATCCGTCTCCTCTTTCTTTTGGGTCATTGACTGGTTTTTTCTCCTCCTCCTCGAGTGGCAAAACCATCCACCATGACGCAGTGAAGAGCCGATTCCCAAAGAGGAGATGCATCATTTGTGGCAGTGACACTCGCAACGAATGTGCGCACGCTGATTGCATGGCAACCCAGCGAACTTATGGCTCGAGCAAGGTTATTCAAGGCATCGCAATCTGCAGTTCCACTACTCCCGCTCGCAAGAACATGGCACGATATGGTGGTGCCAGCAACACAAGGCCATGCATTGCTATTCACCGTGATGAGTATGCCGAGAGGCAAAAGAGGGTGGCTCAGCATGCTGCGCAATACTGATGATGCATGGTGGCAAGTTCGGGTCCCATTTTACGTTTGTGGTTTGATATCCAACAAATTCCAGATTTTCATGTTAACAACAAACAACAACAATCGACGATGGTGCTATATACTTGTTAAACGAGCCGCTATAACTGCTCTTGTTGATCCAACAACTTCTTTTGGTCTCAGAAGGGCTCGCACCACCTCTCTGGAAGCGTCTGGAGTGGGTAGCACGGTTGTGGGCAACCGTCCACAAACGCGGACACCTGTCCACAGATCTGCGCACAACCATCTTGTCCACAGGACACTCCAAGGCACTAGCTAGCTAGTATGATAGCTCATCCAGCCAAACCATGATATCAGCTGACACCTGACGCCTCACTCGGCAGACCGCAGAACGCAAAAGACAGATCCGCAAGCTGCAAGTAAGTGAAAAGTATGCGGAGATCTTGGATTGGTATGGCCTTTTCGCCTTTTCGCCTTTTCACTGATGTTGGGTAGCTCTGGAGAGATTGTGGTACTTTGTTTCAGATGTCATCCAACTCTTGGGCTTCGTGTCGATTGTCAGAGCTGCATAGACTCAGAGAGAGCTAACGAGCCAACAAAGCAAGAGACAGAAAGCCCCACAAACCCTTGCAAGGCAACATTCCAATCTGAGCAGCAAGCAATATGTTTAACTTATTCCCATCCAAGGGACTGCATACAGTGTCTTGCATTGGCCCGTTTCCAAACATCTAACTACTAGCTAGGCAGGCAAATCTTATTACGCCCCCGGAATTGTTGATTTAGCCACCACCGCTCGAGGAGCATGCGCACATGCGCACCTATGGTTGGCTTCATGGCATTGGTTTCGCATGCTGATTGGTCACTTTTGAAGACGCCAGATTAAGCCAGCACTCACAGCAAGACACCAAGGAAGAGGCACTGACCCATTTTGCTTCACATTGTTGTCGTTGGATGGCCCCTGCTCACCACCCTCGGCATTATTGCCGCTCTAGCTAGCCGTGGCAGTGTCATCACTAGCCTTGATGATGTATACCGTCAACTCCCACTGACTCTGGCCGAGAACTGCATCAATGCTCTCCCGAAGCTGCAGCTCTGCCACACATCAATTACTGCCTCGACCTCCTGATGCCACACTGCAACGATTCTGGTAGAAAAGTAGTACAGTAACAATAGCTCCACAGTACCATGCATCTTAGGTCAAAATGAGCTTGGTTGCATAATCCAGATGTAAACATGATTCGATTCGAGAAGCTGCGGACTCGACTGCTCGACTCTGCATTGGTGCGGAGGTGGTCGGTGTTCGACGGAACCAAGGTGCGTCCAGATCAGAAAGATGACTTATTAATAGTGCAGCTCTTAGACGCGATCTTCTGTTCTTAGTGGAAAGCAATGCGAGAATTAACGATTTATGAGCCAAATAGAGATTTATTGTCTTTGCTTGAGCAATCTTTACCAGATTTAAGATAGAATTGCCCCATGACAGAAGCTGCGACTTGTACATTTAAACAGTTCCTTCGAACATTGTATGTGTTAAGTCATGAAGATCAACTTGGACTCCTGGAGAAGGCAGACGAAACTCGAAGAGCACAAGGGATTAAGGATCGCCTTCACCGGTTCACCGGTATATATTAATACAGTACAGTACTATACTGTAGTAGTACATGTACGACATTTAAGGCCTTTGAAAGCAAGGCACAAAGCACAAAGGCACACAGCACAACGCCGCATGCTCACAAACCCACGAGCGATTTATTCATTCGAGGAAACTCATTCCTTCTCACCATTACTCATTTCCTTCCAAACTGGTTGATAGGTATCATATCTGCAGACATTGCATTGACCCTCGTGTCAACAAACCTGGGAACGTAAGCAAACTCTGGCAAGCAGAATTGCACGAGAGAGACCATGAAACGACGACGGCAAAGACAGGCTTGGCGCGACTCTTCTCCATGCAGCCCTGGAAAAGAAGAAGAAGAAGTACCACTGCGCGATACTAGTAATTCTCTTTTTGTTGCCAAAGAACCGGTAAAACACACGCTGTACGACAATCACCACCTGGCTGTTGTGAAGTTTTTCGATTCATGCGAGGGAACCACCATGGCGGCAAACAGCGGTGACACAGCCGATGCTACTTATAATGGGTCTGTAGAGCAAGAGACCGCAATGATGACGACCCTATCGGCTGAACGCAGTGGCAGCAGCAGCAGTAAAAGACCTCCTCGATCTTCTGTGAAATCTTCCTTCTTCGTCTCCAAGCTTCCATTGCGACGAGTACATGTAGTGCTGCTGGTGACACTCCTCTGGATGGGTGTAATGACTCGAACTGCACAAGCACAAGGATCGACGTCCTTTCCCTCTCTGGCACCTAGCATCCACAGTACTACCAATAACAGTGTCCCCACGCCCAATCCGTCGCCACTCATGTACGCGTGGGCATTTGATCAGAGCGAACGCCGCGAGACCCCTGTGCCTTCCGTCGCCCCAAGTCTGGCTGCCTCGTCCATTGTCTACGACGACTTTGATCAATTCCCGCAGTGCAATCGGACCACGCAAGAAATGATTGCCTTGGACGCCGATGTGCAAGTGGAACCCTGCATTCTCTTTGACATTGCCCCGCAACGACTGCAGATCATTCCCTACCGTACCCAAATCATTACCATTGTCCAAGTCACACCCGCCACGAGCTGTCGCGATGCCAGGGATGGCGCCACTACCAGTGTCGAATTGCTCAATCAACAGAATGACGGACGAGGCATTGCCATTGGATTTCAAAAAGATTATCACATTCAATTGCGATTTGTTTCCCTCATTGCCGGAAATCCCGATCAAATGGGACGTGACTTGTACGGACTCCATCATGCCGCCGTTCTCACATCGGCCATTACTCATTTGAAAGCCTCGTACATTGTCGGAGCGTGCAGTTGGGTTTCGTCGTTTGAAAAGGAACCCGCGCTTTTGACCAACACCATGGTGCTGTCGCAAGTCGGACCACCGGGATTTTACAAGGACCAGAATCCCTACGTCTTTGGCGTACACATTAACAGTGACGAATATCCCATTCCGGCTGTACGGGCACTGGGATTCTCCGCCGTGGCGGCACCCAAAGATAGTCCCCAATCACTCAGTCAACAACCCGTCATTGTCATTTACCGCACGCACTCGGAATTCTTTCGATCCACCTGCGAATCGGCCGTACGAACTGCCAAGGAATTTGGATTTACCAACGTTACCGAAGTCATTTACGATCCCGAAGGAGATCACGACAACGATGGCGTTTTTAATCAAGTCGACGAGGACTTTTTGCGCGGCATTGCCGATGACACGTGTCCGCCGGGGTCGGGGGCGCACGGGGATGCCTTTAATCCGGCCATTTTTGCCTGTTTCTTGGCCGAACAAGATGTCGTTTTACGACGATGGCAAGAAAATGGATGTCGACCCATTTCTCTATGGTTGACGGCGGCCACGTGGGGATGGGCGGCCATCAATCCCACCGTGGTGCCCCACATGCAAGGAGGAGGACAATGGCACGAAGCATTTCTGTATTCCGATCGATTCTTTGAATCGGGAAAGGATGTGCTCGTGTATAATGAACAAAAGTTTGGATATTACGGGTCCTACGATACAGTGGTGAGTTTTTGTTGTTTGTTTGTTTGTGTTGTGGATGAAAATGACAAAAGGAAGCAACGACTGACCCTGTCCTCGACAATAATCTACCTTAGGTCGCTTACGCGATTCCCATGATTTTCGCACAGCACATGGAAGCATTCTACCGTGTGGTGGATGATCCAGATCCGGATGCGGACTTTTATACCGAAGAAGGATACGAACGGCTACGTCGAGCCATGGTAGTCATCAATACGCAAACCATTTTCGGACCTCTCGCATACAATGAAGATCAGCGCAACATTGGTCGAGGAGCTGCGGGGACTCAATGGCAAATGCAATCGACGGGCGAAGACGGAGAAGAAGAAGAATTGCGCAATGTGCTAGTCTCGCCCGCCAACCAGGCCGAAGCCGTCATCACTCTTCCAGCTCCCAGTGCCGTCAACTGTACTCCGGGAAATTACGTGAATGAGACATTGGTTATCACGGGTGATGCCATTTTGGGAGACAAATGCGAGCAATGTTCCGTAGACTCCTTCATGGCGATATCCAATCAACAACTTGAGTGTATGGCATGTCCAGAGGGGAGCACTACCGATGGAAGCACGGGAGCGACGAATTGCATAGTGGAAAATGACAACCTGCTTTCGCCGGGGACGCTGGCCTTTGGTTATTTGGCGGCTACGACCACGTGGGTCCTCAGCCTTGGGTTTACCTACTGGATTGTGAAACATCGAAAGGATCCCGTTGTCTTGCTGTCGCAGTTTGAATTCTTGGTCTTGATTTGCCTGGGGGCAATCATCTCATCATCCACCATCTTTGCGTTGGGGGCACAAGCAGGGTCAGACGAAGACACCACTGCTGCCTCCCGAGCCTGCCAGGCGGCCCCGTTTTTGTACACAACTGGCTGGGTTCTCCAATATGCCTCTCTTTCGGCCAAATCGATACGACTGTACAAGATTATGACCCTTGGGAGACGCGTCAAGGTGACAGTTATGGAGACAGCATCCATTGTAGCGGCAATCTTGGCACTGGATTGGATTGTTGTCATTGTGTGGACAATTGCGCATCCCCTTGAGGTATGCTCTTGTGGTTTGCCATGCACGAATATGATGTTTTCGCGACATTTCTGACACGTTTCGTTGCGATTGACTCGACTCGTCACTCTTGCTACAGTATGTTCGCGAGGTGGTTAGCGTTGAGGTAGACGACGTGAATCATGTGACCACAATCAACACTCGCGGGAGTTGTGCGATGGTGGATGGTCCAAGTATCTGGGCCTTTGTCGGGCCGATCATTGGTATCCACGCTGCATTGATGATAGGAACAAACGTCATCTTGTACTACATTCGCACTATGTCAGACCGATATCAGGAACAGAAATATGTTGCTCTTGCGTCAGTTTTTGTTTGGTAAGCCACGAAGCCGCGTGAACGTTGCCACATGATGCGTGATGCCAACTTACTCACACGAGTCCTTTCCCACAGTGAGGTGCTTGTTATCGGTCTTCCAGTGGTGATTTCGGTGAATGAAGATCCAGTTGCCGTATTCATTGTCCTGTCTGGAGTAATTGCTTTGAACGACATAGGTATGCTGTGTTTTGTGTTCGTGCCTAAGATCAAGTTCCGGCGAAAAGGAATCCAAGATGGAGTGAGCTTCGGAGAGACAATCCTGAAATCAACGCACAAGAAGGCTAATGTACGAGAGAGCGTGATCCGGAGCTCGTTTCAAGCGCCATCGATGTCGAATTTGAACGTGTCGTCAGCTTCCGCCAATCGTTCTTCAAATGTTGACCTGTTGCCATCTATCATTGACGGCGATGAAGACGAAGATGAATCAGAAAAAAACGGACCTTCAGCGCTGGAACAGGCAGTGAGAGACGACTGGAAAAGGTCGCTGGTGGAGGACACTGACACAAGAACGCCGCCCACTGAGGACGACAACGACGAGGATGAAGGGGAAAGGGGCGACAACAGCAGCAACGCTGAACCAAATGACAAGTACGAGGAGGTGAAGTTGAGAAACTACACGCTCGAACTGGAAATGGAAGAACTTCGAGGTAGAGAAAAGGCTCTGCGCAAACGAGTAAAGAAGCTAGAGGAACTGTTGGTGAAGAAGAATGACCAGGAATTGAACAGAAATCGGGGGTCAAACAACTCAAGCAGGTTGTTAGATCCGAGGAGATCGCGGTCGAGGAACTCAAGCAGCAAGACCTTGCTGACAGGCAACCTTCTGAAAGCTAACGGTAGCAACCGAGATGTCCTGCCAGTGAAGGATTCCTGGTTGGAAAATTCCCTGTCCTCGGTTTTAAATGATGATGAGGACAAGAGCGAATGATGCTGTACAGCAGCTCCAGGGGAGCCAAAGAGCTCGAGGAGTAGTGTTGTTCAGGTTGGCTTTGGGCCAAGGTGAACACAAGGGCAGGGGCAATCAGTGTTTCAATTTCGCGGTGGAGCGTGTCTGGGCTCCAGGTATATTGGGTTGGGGCGGGGAACCCGAAATGAATGGTAGTGTACGACCTGCATTGACGTGGCTCCTCGGTTTGTAAAGTAGTCGGGCGGTTAAGTCTACGTAGGCTTTGCGTAATGATTTCAGATCGGAGCCCTTTCTTTGTGGGTCGTCTGAATGGGCTCGTTGGAGCTGGGACTCAGTCCCTTCTTTGACGATGCTTCCTTCATGCCATCTACACGCGCGATCAATTTGAGCATTGAGCATCTATCTCTGTTTTAGAGTCGGAACCACATCTTTCAGTCCATTCGCTTCGATGGACAACATCAGAGCTCGTCCTCCACAATCCACCTGTCTGCGGATGCAGGAGTTACCTTCCATGGAGGGCGTTCATTTTAGAGTTGCCACCGCCCGTACCGCGACTTTCGTAGATCGGTTGTACCGGCATGATTGTAGCCATTGCTTTCCACTCGCTAACATGATCGTTGATGCTCTTACTCCAAGGTCCCCCAGAAGGCCAAGATGAGAATGCCCGCGACAGCCAATACGGCACCGCCACCAGCCTGCAAACTAGGCATTGCCTGATCTTTCTGCAAGAGATAGGTCAATGGCAAGGCATACAGAGGCCCAATGGAACCCAGCGTGAGTGCCAACGCCAAGGCAATCTGAAATAGTGCGTAGTTGCTCAATGCAGGAGTGAAGAACGTCACGAAGAGGACACCACCCGACACGTGCAACCATGCCGCAACCGACATGGAATCCACTGGCAACTTGTACCAAGCAATTGCGCCGACAGTTTCGGTTTCTGTGGATGGTGACCCTTGTTCTTCATCGCTGTTGGTTCTTCCAGTGTTGTCAACGTCGGGTTCGTTGTTGGAACTGGAAGAGGACGAGCAGCCCACAAACCAATCTCTCGTCTGCAAGAAAATGGAACAGAACAGCATGACCACGCCCGCAAATCCAAACCGTACCAGATTGATTTCCCACGTCGTGAATTTCGTTCCGTGTTCCTTGGTCAGAACGGATCCGTAGGTGTCCAGCAGCACATTGATGATTGCCATGCCATATCCGTAGAAAAAGTCCCACTCACTCTGTGCCCGCTTTGTGGAATTGGTGGAGGGCCGGGTTTCGTCAACAACAGCAGTGCTTCTGGATTGTGGCTCAATGCCGTCATCATCATCATGACTGTTCTGCTGTTCTTGCCTTATTTCTAATTGAGCATCCGGTAGATTGGTTTCTGTCGTTGGATCGATTAGCACATCGACACAGTTGTCATCCACTGCAGGTTCTTCAGGAGGGAAACTCCCGGTTGCCAAGGAAAGTGTCGAACGGTCAACAAGAGTCGTTACATCGGTTCTCGTAGAGAAATCCGTATCTTTCTGGTTGGCTAGTAGTTGGGCGTCGTGTTTGTCCGAGTTCATTACACTCTGCAAGACAACCTCCTCTTGTTCTGCTTCTTCATTGTCGTCTTCCTGCGTCTGTCTGTCTTCTAGACTGACCAGTAGAATCCCCACGACAGTGCAGGCAATTCCTCCCAGAGCGGCCCACTGCAACTGTTCTCCCAACAAGGCCCATCCAAAGACTGCTGCCAAAAAGGGCTTTAAGGAATCCATGACAATCACTTTGCGAGCACCCAGCAATCGGAGTGCTTCCAACCAAGCAAAGTCGCCTACTAGAATACCAATGGCCGACGACAGCATCAAGAACCCCACACTGTCGCCGGTAAACACTTGCGCCGAAAAGGGATCGTCTCGTGTGGTCGCTGACAAGACGACAAACCAAATAGATGCCAGGTTGCACTTGAACATGTTCAGGGCAAAGGCACTGCCTGTCCAATGATTGTCCCACACAATGAAACCCAACGTCATCGTCAGGGGAGCCGCCAATGCGGCCACAATGCCCAAACCAAACGACATGGTGCTTTCCTTCTCTCTCTTCTTTACTATTTGAAAAAGGAGGCACAAGGAGGAAGAGACGACGAAGGGACCGAAGAGTTGTGGTCGCTTGTTGCCGATGAAGGACGTGGTTGCAAAGAAGAAATGAGGGTGTCTGAAACGGAGGGTTAAGGCTTTGGTCATTCACGTCTCTTCGAAGTCGTTTGAGACTCGACTGCGACTCGACTCTCACTCGATTGAATCTATTTACTGTACCGTACCGCACGGAATTGTTGTACCGTACCGTACGGAATTATTTCGCGGTATTATTAGTAGTACCGGTACGTCTCGCTGTTCGCGGGGGCCAGTCACACTGTTTAGAAGTGTGATCTCGCCAGTACGTACAGTAGTGTTCCTACTGTACAGGTATCGATCGCACCGTACCCACCGTACAACTTTGTTTGGCGATTTTAGGCAAAAAGTTCCTGAATGAGCCCGTGGCCATCTCAATTTCTGAACCCAGGCTTGAGCAACAGACCATTGTCGTTTGGACAGTCGATGAGATTGCTTAGACGAAAACCAAGACAGAAACGAACCGAACTTCATGGGTTATGCAATACTAGTAATAGAAAGCTCTTGTGGCTTTGCTGCTTGCTTGTGGCCATATTATTTGTGACCCAGTCGCTGATATCGTTCATTCCCGTCACATCTAGATTCAACCCCTCTGAAATCTGGAAGAAGAATGGCATCAAACTGACAACAAGCACCAAGCTGGTATTTCCTAGCACTGGAGTGGAAGCCAATTGGGGTCTGACAACGGCTGCACAGGATTGGAGGAACTATGATGCCAACCGCACAATTGCCTTTGTCCATATTGGGAAAGCTGGGGGCTTGACGGTTAAGAATTCCACCAGCTGCCGACCAAAGAGTCCAAAGCAAGCTGAAACTTGTCTCAAAAACCGATTCAATAGCAATTTGATACTGCCACGGCAAGTGAAATACTACTTGCACATGCATTTATATCAGCCCAACCAACTGGCCGAGGCCACCAGCTTCTTGGTGGTACTAAGACACCCCGTCGATCGACTCATATCAAGTTATCGATATAGCCATCCAGACAACTGCTGCAAAAGCTTGCGCGGACGTCCCTTCCAACCTGGTGGCTGTGCTCTTGAAAAAATGTCAAAAAACCCAGGAAGGCCAGCTTATGAAATCTACTCACGATGCTGGCCGTCGCCGGGAATGGAAGATTTTGCCCAGGCAGTGTTGTCTCCCTATCCCACAGAATTCAATGCGAGTCATCTTGCCAACGAAACACTGCAATATCAAAAGGAATCTCCCAAGTTGTGTCGACGAATCGCTCATCGCATGGCGCGGGGATTAGGACCCAGTGATCCCAATCTACACATGTATTACAATTATGAGTACTACATGAATCGCACTGTCCTTGAATATCCGGACAAGGAAGTGCTCGGAATTCGCATGGAACATGTGTGGAAGGATCTACAGGATTTAGACGTGGCCCTGGGTGGCGCAGGTGTCTTCAACATGAAAGGCAGTGCCATTTCCCATGGCAGCAACTCCTATTTTCCGTCACCGGTGTCTACAGCAGCATACCAAAAGTTGTGCTGTGTACTGGAAAGAGAAATTGCCCATTATCTGGAGCTCTTGTTCAAAGTCAAAAACTTGAATGATGCTGCCAAACAGGAAGGGTGGGAGAAAGTCCGGACTTCTTGTGGCATAGGCTCCCAATCTCTGGACGAATGGAGAACACAGTGTCAAGCCAGAATAGAACAAGATAGACCGCTCTGGGATTGAACGGTCTGAGAGGGCTGAAATGACCAAACACACAAAATCAAGTAGGAGTGTGGTTATGGATTCTAATAACATAGTCCAAGTTTTGAGCTCACCCATGAATCAGTGTGTAATCCTTCTAATCGGAAATAGTTTTCTCTGAATTTGTTAAGGCCTACTCTAGAATACACTGGCTAGTTTGCACATTGAGTGCTCCCTGCCAACCTTGTGGACAGGGATCTTGACAATCCAACACATCTTTCCTCCACAACTTCGCAGAAAAAGCTCCAAAAACTGAGAGCTTGATGTCGTGATTGCTGCTGTCGTGTGGCTATAATGGAAATGTTTGCTGTATTGGGACACAAACCCAGACAATAAGAAACCAACTTTTGATTGACACAGGAAGCCATTCCACAGTTCCCTTACTGCAAAAGCCTGTGTTATCGAACAGAGGTTGTGCCAGCACATTAATGAGAGTAAATCATGGGGTGAGTTGAGCTGCGACCACTTGGCAGTGCTGCTAAGTCAAAGCCCTATCTACTTTCAACAATAACCCAAAGATCAGCCCCATCCTGATCTGAATAGATGGCCAGATCCGTCTAGGTTGGTGGTCTTGGTGGTGGTGGATATCACTTCTTTCCACTGTGCGTGATGGTGCATCTTTCAGAAGCAACATGTCCTGAATCTTCGAAGAGAAGGTGCAAATGGTACAAGAGAAGATGCTACTAGTGCCTTCCTACAAACAAGTAACAGATTTCAATCGGCTGTCTGGCTGCTTGCTGTGCTTGCTGCAATGCGGGACGTAGACTAGCCTGAGCTACATGCATGTGCTCAGCGAGCTCGTGGTTGCATTGGCAAGCTCAAAAAAGAAGAAATGATTTGATTTAAAAAAAGATGGGATCGTTAAATCCACTTCAGGTGAAGCACCTCTAAATCTCTTGGGATATTAAATCCTGGATGACCTTGGCTGTTTATCTCAATTATTCATAAAAAACAGGCGAGAGTTGCTCGAGCCACAATGGCGATGGAACGGCGTTGTCTTCTTCTCCGTTGGCCAAGCAACATGATCCACACAGAGAGCCCATAAGATAGATGATGACAAAGAAAAGTGAACCAACCGAGATGTGCAACTTGAGTTCTTCCGAGGCAAACGGGCAGGAAGCTTCGCCACAGCAAGCGGCTGGTTATGGTCTCATCCACATCCACACGAACAATAACGATGAAGTTATAGCACCACCAAAGAGCGTGGATGATATCGAGATGACATTGCATCACGAACCAAACGATAGCAAGGACGATGCGTCGTATGGAGAAGAGAACGACGCTGCTGCAATCATGGACAACCGGCCACTGACAAAACTAGAGATTTGGAATCTTGTGTTTTGCGTCTTGGCTTGGGCGTGCACCATTGCCAACGTGACCTTGGTAGTGGGAACCAGCAATGTCGTTCTCCTTTCCATTGGTGGCGATCCCAGTCTCTCATCGGTGCCACTGGCAACCTTTTTCATGGGCGCTTCCCTGGTCAGCTTGCTGGTTACGCCGTGGCATTTTGTTCGGTTGGGCCGCAAGCTCGGTTTCTTGGCCGGTGTATGCCTTGGTTTGCTGGGCAGTGGCTTGGGTTGTTGGGCTGTTTGGATTTCTTCCACGGCACTGTTGATTGTGGCCACTGCTTGCTTTGGTGCTGCCATGGGGATTGGTTTCTACCTTCGCTTTGCCGCGGTGGAAGTGGTCCCCTTTCACTGGGCCGACAAGGCTGTGACACTGGTGGTGTCCGGGGGGTGCATTGCCGCCTTTGCGGGACCTGAATCCGCGGAAGGAACACGAGGCAAGTTTGGAGACGAAGAGCATCTACTCTATCTTGGTGTTTTTATCATGACTGCTATTTTCAATGTGGCCAATGGGATCTTTACCGCTTCGGTACAGTTTCCCGACACTAGCAGCAGCCCGGCCAAGAAACAAACGTCCCATATCAACAACAGTCCCCCGCATTGGCCACAGCGTGTCTGGGCCATTCTACAGAGTCGAAACTTTATTGTCCCCATGTTGATCTCGGCAGGATCCTGGATTATCATGGCCTTGCCCATGAGTGTCCTCCGTGTGGCCATGCATCAGGTGGGCTTTTCGTCGCGACAATCCCTCCTCACTATTGAACTACATTTCTTTGGAATGTACGCACCGGGATTCTTTACTGGACGGTGGATTGCATCGTACGGGCCTCGCGTGGTCGCGGTGGGATCTGTGGCGGTGTTCTTGGCCGCCCTCGCGTGTTTGCAAACCACCAACGAGTACAATGACGACAGCTCGAACATTGCCCTCTGGATCGTTGGGATGGTCCTTATTGGAGTGGGTTGGAACTGTGCGTTTTCTGGTAGCACTGTCGGGTCTACTCGCGCCTACAACAGCCGACCGGACTGCAAATCGGCCATTCAAGCCGCGAACGACGGCTTGACGTTCTTGTTGGCGGGAGCCGTCATTTGCTCAGCGAGTTCCATCTACCAAGCTGGAGGAGAAGGCATGGAAGGATGGCGGGTGGTCAATTGGGTCGTTGTGGGCTTCATTGGGGTGTTTTCGCTCATTTTGTTCCTTGACGTGGTTATGGATCGATTCTCGCTCTCTGGCGCAGGAGTTCAGGTTGATGTTTGGTCACTTCCGTCCAGCAAGATTCCAAAATGAACCATTCCTTGTTCGGTTAGTTGTACTCTAGCTAGCTACAGCAGCTCATGAAATTGTACAGGTAATATACTAATGTATGCTAAACTATGAATGAAATGTCCTGGTCCAGAATTAGATTAAGTAGATGTAATTATTGAAAGTACGTATTTCTTTGTTGTGCCATTGCGAAAGGAGCCAACACGGTGCCGTCAACGGCGTTCCTGTTTTAGATTTACGGAGTAGTGTGGAGGTGGGTGCTTTCAACGGCTGAGTAGCGTCAATTTTGTGCGTGTATTGTTGTTTCACGTCTCAATGCGAGCATCGCAAAAACCAAAACAGAAGAGTTGCCTAATCCTGCTTGGGTTTTGGAGGCGGTTGATTCATAGCCTTGTACATCCCTTGAATTCTGTCGTAGAATTCCCTGATTTGCTGGAGGGATGGTTGCAAAAGGACGGAAAGGGTGAGAATCGAATGAGTTGTCTAAGATAAGCGCAACAGAAAACGTTAGCACATACCTCGAATTTCGTAATGACCAAAATTCCGAGAAAGCAGAGAGCAAACGACATGAACTCCTTCAGTAGCTGAGACGTCGAAATACAGACGTTGTGCGAGCACGTCAAGTCGACAAAGAACTTGACCAGGTAGGAAATTCCAGCAGTGGCAAGAGGAATGATGTAACTGCAAACGACAAACAGCAACAAAAAGCAGTGAGAGACGGATAGACATACTGGACAAAATAATGGTATTCCTCCAAACAAAAACAACACGCACATTTCCATTCCAAACAAAGGATTGCGTTGTTCGTTGAGTTTTCGGTAGGACACAAACTGCTCGTCGATAGCAATTTGAACGTCTCGTCGCGATTTCTGAATGTTTTTCGAACTCCCAAAATTAGCTCTTGCATCAAAGATCTCGAGCGCCTGCGTGACGTTATGTTTGTGGTCATCCTCCAACTGTTGCACATTGACAAAGCTGCTACAGCTTGGACCGGCAATGCGATCCATGACCTCCTTGTAGATTTTGAGAGCCTCATCTCTGGCATTGGTATTGTTCGCCGATGCCGTGGCATCCAACATTGTCCCAGCCTCTGGGAACTTGGCCCCATCGGCAAACATTGCGGCGTATGCCTTGGTGTAGTTGAAAAATTCCTGTGGTCCCAGCTCTTGTCCGTGGATAATTTTGGGTGTCAATTTGTCGCTAAAGATGCGTCGACAGTAGAGATCTAGCAGCTTGAGGAACTCCGGTTCAATGTCCTTGACGGCCCCGTCGTACTTTTTCTTGGTCACCTTGGTTCCTGGATGGCAGAGTCCAAAGCAGGATACTTTCTGAAAGCAATCGTTGATTTGCTCCCGCGTCTCCTTCAAATCGTTGGCTTCTCTCATTTGCATGACCTCATCGTTGAGGTATGCCTGCATGGACTCGGCCATTTTGACAGCGGACTCTTCCTCATCATCAAAGTGCTGCCAATCACGTACCAAAAATTCGACGAGTTGAAATGGCTTTTTGTCTCGATCCGTTTCGTTGGACGCCATTGCCATTTTGGCATATTCCGTAAAGAGCGCCAAGTGCTGCAGGTTGTCTTCCTGGATTCGCTTGTCGACATTGTAGATCATATAGCTACTCATGAGACATCCCAATCCAAAAATGCAGGTGGTGAGAGTCATGGTGGTCTCGTGATCAAACATGCCTTGGGTGTCCACCAACAAGACTGCCAATTTTCCACCATTCAGAAAGAACGGCTGATTCCACATCCAAATTCCAGTAGTATTTCGTTCACTTCCAGCCTTCCATTCAAAGCCCTTATTTCCAACAGACTCCAATTGGTTGTACCATTGGCTGTCTTCTTCCACAAGACTGGGATTCTCTTCCAACAGATTCAAGAATCGGAGAAAGAAAGTCAAGACAAAACTCTTGCCGGTTCGAAAGGCACCCACCACACTCACGACAGAGACCTTGCAGTCCTCGGGCACTTTGGCCAAAACGGACTGCAGTTTCGCTTCATGGAACGTAAACGAATACGCATCCTCTTCACTGCCAATCGAGAAAATCTGAAGGGCTTCCGGTGGACTATCTGTCACGACGTCCGAAGGATCCACAATGACAAGAGAGTCATCCGTCTCGCCACCACTGTCTTCTGTCTTGCTCGTTTCCATCTTGGGAGTTGGAGTACTAGTAGTGTTCTCATTCACGAGATCTGGTGGATTACTACTACTATCCTCTGCGCCGCTCATGGTGGTTGTTGTTGGTGAGAAATCAAATATAAATAATCAGTGATCAAAAGGACCTTCGAGCTGTCTGTCGGCTTCGTTGATGTGATTTGTGTGAGTGATGAGCTTCACGGAAGTTTCGCAGAGGGTGATTGGGCCGTTGACTGTCATTCAAAAGTGGGTCGATTGAGTCGAGTTACTCAGTCGAATGCTTCATTCGATTCATCATTCGATTCAATCATCAATCTAATCGGAAGCCTTTCGTGTGCGGCCAATGGGAACGGACTGTCAACCCGCTCGGAAGGCGGATTCCACCTCTTGGCAACAACCATACCTGGTACCGGCACTGTATTTCGTACATTCGGTGTACGATGTATGCCCCTGACCTGTATTTCGAAATGCTAAGAACTAGCTAGCTAGGCAGGAGACTACAACCTGATTTTGTATCATTCAATTCTAGACTCCGCTTCTAAATAGCTAGGCACAATGAAGGCACATCATGGGCACCACTGATTGCCAGCCAGCCACAGTGCCAGTAGTAACAATCAATTTCTTTTTATAGTTTTTTTAAATATAGCTACCTTGCAGATAGACCTTTCCATTTTTGGAGTTTTCTTCTTCTTGAACACATGCACCAACAATTTCACATGGACACAACCTTATAGGGATTTCACACACATTAGTCAACCTTCTTGGCCTTGTTGACAATCTTCATCTTGAAGTTGAAGGGTGCCACAACATTGATAAGGGCAAGAAAACATCCAGAGGCCATCAAGGGAAGGCCAAACATCTTGAAGAACAGCTCAATTCCATGGGCCAGCATTCCTACAAAACTTGTCATCATCAACACAGTATCCACAACTCCAGCATTTGCAGACGCAACGTAGAGCTTGTCAACTCCTTTGGAGAATGGCAAAAATGCTTCCCCATCCATATCCACCTCACAGAAGGCACTGTTGACATGGATACAGAGCAACCTCAGGGGAGAGGTGATCAAGTGGGTGAATGCCTGCCTGTGCATCAAGGGCTTTCCAGCAACCACCACATATTCATTATCAGTGTAGCGAGGGTTGTTGTAGGAGGAGGCAAGAAGGCCATTGACCACAATGGTTCCATCCTCAGTGGCAGGAGAGAAGCCTCCCATGAGCTTGACAGTGGTAATGGCAGTCACTTTGGCTGTCTTTGTGGAATGACCATGCTCCATGAGGGACAAGTTGTCGCCAACCTTAACATGTCCAGCCTCCACAGGGTACTGCTGGTCATTGATGTAGATCATGTGCTTGGGGGTCATCTCAATCTTGTTTCCACTGTCAGTGACAATCTGGAGGTACTCTGATTCCCTGGCTTGGCTTGCAGCAAGCTTCTCAGGTGTCCTGTGGAGCCAAGCATATACCTTTTGGAACTGGCCAGAGGAAGTCAACACCAGGTCATTGATCCTGAGCTCATCCATTCTCTTGGGACCCTCAGGTGTCATGGTTGTCATGGAGGCAGAGAAGCAGTCATAGTAGGTTCTGCACACATCGCCACTTGGACATTGAGCATCTACATGTCCACGGGTTCGGTAGCTGTAGTGAGCACCACCACTCAGAAGAAGGTAATCACAATCCGTATCTTCGTTACATGAGCATTTCTTGTCACCATTGACGGTCTCACAGGTAAAGTCACCATTACAGTCATCATCATCTTGGCATTGGTCCAAAGAAACTTCATACGATTGCAATCTTCGGCCAGAATTTGATCCAGGTTGAAAGCGCCCAACAGAGAATACGCTGCAGTCATCTTCTTCATCATCACAATCCAGCCGGAACTCCTGGTGTGGGTTAGATTCCATGTAGATGCCTTCGTAACGAAACTTTTTGGGACGACCTTCTCCTCCTCCACCTCCTCCGAGCTTCCTCCTGTCCGCATCCTCCTCTCTCCTGTTGATCCCAGCAAGGTTAAGGGGACGAGTGTATTCAACACCATCCACAGTCACCACAGCATTGCAATGCTCCGAGTTCTCCTGGAATCGCCTGTAGGCTGTGTGCACTCCACCCTTGGGAGCAGTTCCCAGGCGCTGCCTTCCTTCTCCATCTAGATCATCGGACCTGTCCAAACCACCACCAACTGAATCTTGTAGCTTCCTCATGAGAAACCTGTGGGCAACACCACTATCCGCCTTGAGGAAAATCAAGCTGGCCTCAGGCCTGGTCTCTACCACATTGCCAGTATGGGAATCCACCAAGTGTCCACTGCCATCCACCACAACCTCCTTGGTGAGGGCCACGACTGCCCAGACAAGACCAAAAGACATGGTGAGGAGCAACAGGATTGCCACCAAAGACAAGCCAAGTCCCTTCTTGAGGCCCTTCTTCTTCTGCTTCTCCTTGTACAGATCTTCCACAATGCTGAAGAGCTCTCCAGCATCGATCTTGCCATCACCATTGGCATCGTACTTAACAAGTAGCTGTTCTTCATCATCCAGGAATCCCTTGTTGCCACGATCAAATTTTGAGGACCTGACTGAGAGGCGTTGGCGAGGGCCATCCTTGCTGGACTTCTGATCATCCATGGTGAGGATGCTGGCTTCGTCTTTGATTGTCTTGGTTGGATCCATGTTGCTGCTGTTCTTGTTGCTGTTTTTCTTGTTGCTGTTTTTCTTGTTGCTGTTTTTCTTGAATTGTGAGAGTGTGGTTGTGGGTTGTGGGTTGTGGATGAACGTAATTGATTTGCCAAGGTTGGGCTACAGTTCAGTGTACCGATATGTACTCGAGAGACCACTAGGCGCTGTCAAGACTGACCGACTCGACTCTGTGAAGTCTGAAGGCCTTGTGGCTTCGGGCGGACTGTCCGGTGTATACCGATACGTACGCGAGAGACGAATAGCCGCTTTCAAGACTGACCTAACTCTGTGAAGTCTGAAGGCTTTGTGCATGGCTTCGGGAGAAGTGTCCGCTGTACAACTTCAGTACTCGGGTACAGCGTAGAGGGCTAGGCGCTGACAAGACTGACCAACTCCACATCAAAGACTTTGTGGCTCCGCTATCGTTCGGCCACATAAGTGTTGTTCCAATTCATTGCAAAGACTATTATCTTTGTACACCACTCCGAGTACCGGCACAAGCAAGTACTTAACTAAAATCAAAATAGTCACTTTTGCACAGACACAGTATCGTACAGTATGGTATTAATTAATACATCATGGTACCGTAAAAGTATATCCCTGAACTGAGAGGAATACTGAGAGCCTGTACCTGTGGTAGCCATCCTACAGGAGGTATCCATCCTATCGATCGAGGTATGCAAGGTCGATCGTTCCTCTATACCAGTGACGACCTAGTGAAGGTCACGTCCTCGAGCGTAAGAAAAATGAGGCTCGCACCTCTACTACTCACTGTTAAGATAACGGACGCACCTCTGGAGATAATGAGGCTGGACGTTCGAAAAGCACAAGTCCTGGGAATCGCTCGCTAGCTACTAGCTAGCTAGCTAGTAGTAGCAGTAGCAGTAGCAGTAGCAGTACGTGCGAAACATTCGAAAAGCACAAGTCCACGAAAACGAAAACGAAAAAGATGAAGTCCATGTAACAAACTCACTATTAGGCATGGCTACCATGCTTATCAAACTAAGGTCAACTTTACTGAGCACGAACAATACAAAGATCCTCATGCAGACTGCCCATAATGGTGTCCTGCTTGATGGCAGCAGTAATATTCAAAACACTTCCTTTGTAATGCTCCTCAATCTTGGAGATGACCCAAGCTGGAGCTTTCTGATAGCATTGACAAGTGTAGCCATAGAGTCCAGTAGTGGCTTCCTCCTGGAGTAGGTGACTTGCAAGCCTGATATCATCACAGTGAAGTTCTTGGCTGTGCTTGTTGCCCCAATACCATGCACCACTCTTGCCACAGCAGAGCCAACAGTTCTGTACTTGGCTAGCTTGGCAGGCCTACTATCAAGCAGGGGTGGTGGCCACAGCTTGTCTGTACCTGAGGCTAGTCTGGCCATTCCGGCGAGTCCTTTCCAACAGTCAACCATTTCTAAAAAGATTACCATCTACCTGATCAGGTTGTTGCCATCCTTGGAGGCTGAACAGCAATCCTAAAAAAGCATACAAAAATACATAGTTATCAGCAGTAATAGCCATAGTTGAATAGCCAACAGCCACAAGTCACACTTACCTGCAAATATTTCCATTGAGTTTCGTCAGCTCCGCGCCAAGCCAATCTCCAACACCACTCTCACAAGCCAGCAGCCGAACCGTCGCGGGTCCTACCTTCTTGCGCTATGAGCTGCTGGAGCTGGTTGTGTTGCGCAATAATCCTTGTCAGAATCTCCTCGTTCGTGTCGTACCTGTTGTTGCGTTTGCCATAGCCGTCAACTGCTGCGACTGATTGGCAACTTGACGAGTGCTTGCCTGGCCGGTCGTTCCCGTAGTGCCACCACTGTGCCACCGCCGCCTCCCGTATCCATCGGCTCGATTTCCTTGATGTGGAGCTTGGTGTTGTGCGTCCAAATAGAGAGAGGCACTTTCACCACAGGGTTGATGCCAACAGGAAGATATGGCCTTGATGCGCTCGTACGCATCTGGATCCTAACACGAACGGGAGGCTCCATCCTCTCCTCCCAAGATTCGTCAAGACAGCCCACAAATAGAAGCAGAGCCAAGTGAAGCGAAATGCGTTGACACGTCGTAAAACGCATGTGTCCTTGGCACCACATACTCAATCAACCAGTCGGAGTCACTCTCTTGGCATACGGGTGTAGCTTGTAGGCAATAGGAGCCCCCATGCAAAGCTTTTCGGCAGCACGAGCGTCGATCCAGGGCTGGTTCAGGCGAAATGTAGGCATCAACACACCCGTCCAGACAAGCGAGCCTTCCAGCGACCTCTGAATGTCAACTTCGTCAGCAGTAGCACCCATCCCTCTTGCCAGAGTTGCAGCAAACTCCGAATGCTGTGACTCCCAAGAACACCAGCAATGAGGAGCGCCACAGCCAGAAATGGAGCCGACAAAAAGACAGCCTTGAGAATGTTGCGGTAGGCTGCGTTGCAGTGCTTGGGAGCCAACTTAGGATCGCTTTCGGGAGTAAAGAGGAATGCATCTTCCCGACCAGCGGCGCCATACCCGTAGTTGAAGGACGCCTCCATGTAATTCGCCAATCCGAGCATAGCACAAAAGTCGGTATCCATCGACCCAAGAATGATTTGGTCAGGGCATTGTCGTTCTTCCAAAATATTCTTGGACCAATGCACCTTGCAACTGAGCGCAAAAGGGAAGTCTGGATGCGGCTTGTAGTCGGAATACTTCAACTTGGAGATGTCGTCCGTCCTGGTGATGAGTTGGACTTGCTGCTTCAACATGCAGGCTGTACGGATGGTCGATTCAAAGCTCCCTTGCCGTAGAGTTCATGGACCACCTTGCGATACTCGTTTCCGTCAAATCCTTGGTGGCACAGGACTTCTTCCGCGGTGTTGAGTCTCCGCTTTCTTGATTCCTTGACACTTCGTTCACAGGATGCGGACTTGGTTGGATTGCCGGAGGTTCCATTCCATGTGGCACCTTTGATGGGCATGTAGAAGGAAATAGCCTTCTTGTCTTGCTCAAGAGTAGAGGAGCGGCAAGTTGGATTCTGCTCGAGGTCTTTGAAGTCAACATCGGTCGTACCATACGCACGCCATTTCAAGTAGTCGGCAACGTGGTGTGGTTGGATGCGGCCAAAGCACTAGGTTGGAAGCGAGCCGCCTTGGTGTATGTCCTCTTGTGCAGCCAGCTCATGAATTTGACGAAGAGACGATGGTAATCCCGGTTGTACTTGGGCTGTTCCGTGGGTGCTTCAGGCAAATCCGGCACGTCCTCCAACCCAAAGGCTCCATCATTGGCATTGTTGGCCATGGTGGAGTAATTGTTTGGTCAACTAAGCAATTGTTGGTGGAGCTGGAATTTTGGCAGAGTTCCTTTATAGAGTAGAAGGATTGAAAATAATGAGCTGAAAGTGAGGAAAACTGATGCAATCTGTACGGAGTGTTCGCGAGTAGTTGTACTGATCGGTCGTTGGATCGTACGTCGTTGCAGCATACTCAGGGAATCCCGTTCGACAAAGTAAGAGGCAAAAAAGATTCCCGTGTGCAAAGAGGCAAACAACGCAGTAATCCCATGCTATCGGCGGTTAGAACGATTGGATCTCATTGGAATGGAACGGTATGGGTTGTGGTACTTAGGGCGAAATTGGAATCCTCTCAGTATGTGGATTGGTCTTATGTATGCAGGCGCCCCTGTTATATCTTCGCCGTTGCAGTTTATTTAATAGTGAGAGTCTTATTGAGAGGATCTTTGTTTCAATGACTGCCAATACCATACCTTTTCTACGTAGCATACTGTCATTGATCCTGAGAGTATGTAAGATCCACTAAGTAGTAGTGTGAAGCACATACTGACACTGTGCAACTACTGTTGCAGAAATGTAGTACCGGTACCGTACATGTACTAGTATGCACTGGTCCGTTGCTGGCCCACCGCCGCATGCAGCTGGCCATGCTCTGGTACGGATAGCACAGAACGGCCCACAGCTGTCAGCTGTAAGACCAAGATGCGGACCGAACGCCACAATGCCACCACAGCATTTCGGGATGGTAAACTTGAAAGCCCAGAAGCCTCCCTTTACCATATTATTGGCTAGCGTTGCTCTAGACAGTGGCGTCGAATGGCGACAGTAGCGACTGGTAACGCACCCAGAGAGAACTCCTCTTGTTGGCTGGAAACAGCGGCAGCTACGGATCGATCGATGACCAGGTACCTAATTATCAAAAGAGTCAATTTTGCGCAGACACAGTGCACGTTGCTGGTTTATTCTAGCTAGCTAGGTAAGGTACGGTACGATACCGGTACGCAGTAGCCGGTACCACCCCCCCCCGGCTACCGCTACCATTCGTATTGACGTACAGCACCCCCGCGCTCATTTATGCACCAGGTGGTACCGGTACAGACAGTACCGTCCAGCTTTACCACCTCGTACGATTGTACGGCACACAGCCCCACCGCGTTGCGTGGAGTGTAGAGGTGATTTCCGTGCCATTTACTAGCTACCGGTAGCGAAAATGGGCCGTCAAAACGGTACCGGTAGAGTACCACAGCATCTTGGGGTGGAAAACTTAAAAGCCCAGAAGCCTACTTGTATCAGCATCCTTGGTTTACCATACATGTATCAAGAAGTTGGGGCACCATATGGACTATTGGCTAGCGTAATAGTCTAGTACTCGAGTAGAGAGCCAACCGACGGAGGCGACCGTCCAAGCCACTAGTATCCCTCATCTGTTTCATTATGTCGATATGAGTAGCGCAGCTAAGACATTCCTCATGACTTTCCCGGTGATTTTTCGAGCCACGAGCAATCCCGCGACTTGGACTATGTTGGCTGCAAGGCATGTGCTCTGACAGAAAACATTGTTACACATTTTAAGCCCAGGCAATTGACGGCCATGGAACTGGCCTGACCTTGATCGTCCGCTGCAGTGGCTACGAACGACCGGCAGGGTTCCCGTGCAGGAACGGCGTGCAATAAACAAGCCGAAACGCAGAAGCGGGTCGCAATAGGAAAACCTTAACCCTATGTAAATTTTGATTCTCCTGCATCCTGCATATGCGACACAAGATATAAAACCTTGAAACAAAGACAATTAACTTTAGGGCGTACGGGAAGGATTCGCGAGGGAACACAATCCACAATGACAGCATTGAAGAGGACAAGCCATGATATTATCGCAGCCTTGAAATCAGGCCAAAGTCTTCTTCAATAGGGCAAGAGGGGTTCACCCTCGTCGCCAGTTTCCTCTCCCTTATCGGCATTGGGATCAATCTCAGGACCTGGGAATGTGGTTTCCCTGGAAAAGATTGTCATTAATAGATGCCCCATATTGTCTTCGCCTCCGTGTTCGTATTCAGCACCACCTTCGTCTTCGCCGTTGTCGTCGATAGTCTCAACATTGATATCGTCATCGTCGGCGGCGGCGGCATCATCAACTTCCATCACGTCCACCTCTTTCTCGAAGTACTTGCGCGTGGAAGCCTCTTCTTGTAATGCCTTGGGCCAATCTGGGCAAAGAATGCTTCTCTCACATACAGAAAGATACCCAAGAGGATCGCATGGAGCATTTCAGAAGGGCATGCACCGTGGATACCGGTATCATCAGTTGGATGGAACCGGAAGCTCGTACCATGCATTTTCAATGAATTGCTGGGAATGTCTTTTAGACCTTCCTTCTGTCCTTGTCCTTGATCAAGTTGGTAATCTCTGTCACTGTTTTGGCCTCATAATCAGCAAGTGGATCATCAGTTTCTTCATTGGGACAGTGACAGTACCGGCACAAATGCTTCACATTCCCTGCCCGACTCCTATACTTCCCACAATGCTTCTCTGCCTCATCCGTGTCGGCCCTTACATGAGAGTCCAGAAGACTAGCTCAAGGTTTCGGTAAGGCTTTCCTCGGTAATGGAGATCCAGACCATGCCATTTGCATCCAACGGTAGGTAAGAATGCAGTATGGCCGCCAGGTGCGTATGAAAATCCTGTGCTTTGTCAACCTTTTTGTCTTCCCGATTCGACAAATCTCTCATAATCATCAGGTCCTCCTTTGTTGGTCATGCTGTGTGTCTCCATACATCTTCTTGCCTTTGGTTTTGCGGCAGAATAGTTGACCAAAACCCAAGAATTGCCCATGCATGATCTTTCTTTCGATAATCAAGCGTGAAACAGGAAACGTCATCTTCAATGCTGTTGACGGATAGGTTGTTAAACTGGCCAGTCACTGCTCATCGATGTACCATTGGATGCCAATTCCATCTGTTTCTCTGGATTCTTGACGTTTTCGAGTATGCATTTCTGTATGCTTCACCAGTATTCAACTGCCCACTTTGGTTGTCATTTTGGTGGTGGAGCTAACGGATCATTGTCAAAGAGCAGAAATCATCATCCGTAAGACGTGGATCGGCAAGCAACTGCCACACACAATTGTGAGCCTCCAGGCACACAACCTTGATCTTTGCACCACAATGAGGAAGCGTTATCTCCTTTTCGAAAGGAAACTTGTCGGTCATGTTGTCCGTTTCTTGAGCAAGCTCATCATGCTTTGCGGCTGAGGTAGTCTGGACCTCACCGATTGGCTCATCTCCAACTCGCTTACCAGTTTCCTCTAGGTGCCAGCCAAGAATATCACCATAGGCAGTCAGAGGTGTCTTGTTCTTTCGAAGATATCCATCAGCCTGAGCCCCTTGCCTGTTTGCATTCAGTGGGATGTTGCTACGCCGCCTCTTCTCACAGTACTGTCTGATTGCTTGATAATTCTGTTGTCAGGAGGTCTCTTGATCCTTGTTTGCTTGTCCTGTGGTTGTCGTTTTGTATGATTGTGGCCACGGATCCTTCGCTATGGATTCCTCATCACTGTCAGTTTCATCCGAATCCTCGTCTGTGGCTTCCTGATCCTCGTCCTCCGCATCTACCTCTTTCTGCCTTCCCTAATACCGTCACTTTGGTTGCCAATTTGTGCATCCGCTGCCTGTTTTCTATCATCCTCGTCGTCATCCTCATCTTGTCGTCTCATCCTCATCTTTAGAACCAGTACGATCAACATTCAAGGGGTCCCATTCCATGGGATCATCTTCCTCTTGCATCTCTTGTGGAATGTCCTGACTGGATTCTTCCTCTTCCTCTTCCTGTTTGTTGGTGTTGGTGCCCTTGCGGGCCTCCCAGTGTCAGTAGCACTAGATCTGCAGCCCTTGCCCTGGATCTACTCTTCTTGTTAGTCCAGTGTCAATGCCCAGCACTCTGTTCCGTGCCTCAATACAAGTTGATAGGCTTGTATGTGACTTGATAGAGCTCTCTGGTTCTTAAACCAATCATACAGTACTCACAACGATACCAACCATTTGTAGATAGGTACAAATCAACTGGTAGCTTACAGACGTTACTTTTTAGCATATAGAATGTACTAGACACCGTCAAAAATGTGGCTTCTTGAGGTTCCAAATTGACAGTTTCTGGCTCTGGAGTGGCTCGATCTTATAAAATGAGATTGTATTAGCAATCCGTAAACTCGTCCTGGTGCATTTTGTATGTAGTTTGCCTCCCAAATACATACGCATACCTAAGTAACGAAAGGGCACGACTGGGTTGGCAAGGTCGTGGCTGTATGTTATCATGCATGCTACCTTACAAATCAGGAGCTCGTCGGATCCGGTTGGATGACCTCACTTTCCGAAACTGCTGAATTACTACCAAAGCTTTAACCAGCGACGTCACGATTTTATATGCCAAACACGTGGAATGGTATGGTAGGGGTGCTCCCGTTTTCGCGCTACCTAAAAATGCGCTTCTTAGATGGGGCTGTGTAATCCCGTTCTGTCGATGCAACAATATCCCTTTGGAAGACTTAAGATTCGAGCATGTGTGTCAAGCAATGAGTCAAGTCATGGGGATGCCCATTGAATATGACCACCCTGAGTTGGCTCCTATCAACCTACAGGAGGACGCCTATGTTCGAATTGGTCCTATTGCACGTCACGCCGGTAACAACCGACCCAATGCCAACAATGGTAATAATGTGAACTGATTCCATGAAATGCAATGGTATAAATAGCCGCCATTCCAAGCAAACAACATAAGCTACGCAGCTTTTATATCAAATATCGTTACCCCCAAATTATGGCCCACCATAAAATTAGGGTCAATTTATGATCGACCAAATTCGCGATTGAATTTAAAGCACGAGAAAACCATGGGGTTCAGTCATGTTGAAGACTCTGGGGTTGCAAAGACGCATTAAGTGAGATTTCCATAGTGTTCCTGTTTTCTACATGCTCTCTAAATGTTAGATTCATCTTGTTTGTAAAATATATATATATATATGCTATGATGAAATTTTATATTCGGTCATTGACTCGTGGCTTTTCTTGATAAAAACGTCGGGGTATACAAAAGATGGGCACATTTCGAAAATGAATCAGACTGACCTGCGGGAACCCTGCAGGTCGACCATGTATCCCCGTATTCCAAAATGCTGAGAACTAGGTAGCGAATTCAACCTGATTTGTATCAATCGATTCTGGACCCCCCTCTAAATAGCTAGGCACAATGGAGGCCCATCAAGGGCACCACTTATTGCCAGCCACAGTGCCAATAGTAAAATTCAATTTCTTTTTCTATTTTTTTTAAAATATAGCTGCCTTGCAGATAGACCTTGTCATTTATGGAGTTTTCTTCTTCTTGAACACATACGCATGCACCAACAATTTCACATGGACACAACCTTATATAGGGATTTCACACACATTAGTTAACCTTCTTGGCCTTGTTGACAATCTGCATGTTGAAGTTGAAGGGCGCCACAGCATTGATAAGGGCAAGAACACATCCAGAGGCCATCAAGGGAAGGCCAAACATCTTGAAGAAAAGCTCAATTCCATGGGCCATCATTCCTACAAAGCCTGTCAACATCAACACACTATCCACAATTCCAGCATTTGCAGAGGCAACATAGAGCTTGTCAACTCCCTTGGAGAAAGGCAAAAATGCTTCCCCATCCATATCCACCTCACAGAAGGCACTGTTGACATGGATACAGAGCAACCTCAGGGGAGAGGTGATCAGGTGGGTGAATGCCTGCCTGTGCATCAAGGGCTTTCCAGCAACCACCACATGTTCATTGTCAGTGTAGCGAGGGTTGCTGTAGGAGGAGGCAAGAAGACCATTGACAACAATGGTTCCATCCTCAGTGGCAGGAGAGAAGCCCCCCATGAGCTTGACAGTGGTAATGGCAGTCACTTTGGCTGCCTTGGTGGTGGTGGTGGCATGACTAGGCTCCATAAGGGACAAGAAGTCACCAACCTTAACATGGCCAGCCTCCACAGGATACTGCTGGTCATTGATGTAGATCATGTGCTTGGGGGTAATCTCAATCTTGTTTCCACGGTCTGTGACAATCTGGAGGTACTCTGACTCTCTGGCTTGGCTTGCAGCAACCTTCTCAGGTGTCCTGTGGAGCCAAGCATATACCTTTTGGAACTGGCCAGAGGAAGTCAACACCAGGTCATTGATCTTGAGCTCATCCATTCTCTTGGGACCATCTGGTGTCATGGTTGTCATGGAGGCGGAGAAGCAGCTGTAGTAAGTGTAGCACTTTCCACTTGTGCATTGAGAATCAATAGGACTGTAGTGTCGGTAAGCGTAGTGAGCACCACCACTCTCAATAAGGTATTCACAATCTGTGTCTTCATTACATGTGCATCTATTGTCTCCCCAGGTAGTATCGCAGGTAAAGTCACCATTGCAACCATCATTGTCTTGGCATTGGTCTTTACCAATATAGGCCAATCTTCGGTTAGATGGTGATCCAGGATGAAAGCGCCCAACAGAGAACACAGTGCAGTCATCTTCTTCATCCTCACAATCCAGCCGAAACTCTTGGTCTGGATCAGATTCCATGTAGATGCCTTGGTAAAGCAACTTTCTGGGGGGACTTCCACCATCACCACCTAGCTTCCTCCTGTCCGCATCCTCCTCTTTCCTGCTGATCCCAGCAAGGTTAAGGGGGCGGGTGTACTCAACACCATTCACAGTCACCACAGCATTGCAATGCTCCGAATTCTCCTGGAATCGTCTGTAGGCTGTGTGTACTCCACTCTTGGAAGCAGTTCCCAGGTGCTGCCTTCCTTCTCCATCTAGCTCATCGGACCTGTCCAAACCACCACCAACTGAATCTTGTAGCTTCCTCATGAGAAACCTGCGGGCAACACCACTATCCGCCTTGAGGTGAATCAAGCTGGCCTCAGGCCTGGTCTCTACCACATTGCCAGTATGGGAGTCCACCAAGTGTCCACTGCCATCAACCACAACCTCTTTGGTGAGGGCCACGACTGCCCAGACAAGACCAAAAGACATGGTGAGGAGCAATAGGATTGCCACCAAAGACAAGCCAAGTCCCTTCTTGAGGCCCTTCTTCTTCTGCTTCTCCTTGTTCAGATCTTCCACAATGCTGAAGAGTTCTGCAGCATCGATCCTGCCATCACCGTTGGCATCGTACTTAACAAGTAGCTGTTCTTCATCATCCAGGAATCCCTTGTTGCCACGATCAAATTTTGAGGACCTGACTGAGAGGCGTTGGCGAGGGCCATCCTTGCTGGACTTCTGATCATCCATGGTGAGGATGCTGGCTTCGTCTTTGATTGTCTTGGTTGGATCCATGTTGCTGCTGTTCTTGTTGCTGTTTTTCTTGTTGCTGTTTTTCTTGTTGCTGTTTTTCTTGTTGCTGTTTTTCTTGTTGCTGCTGTTCTTGTTACTGCTGTTCTTGAATTGTGAGAGTGTTGCTGCTGTTCTTGAATTGTGAGAGTGTGGTTGTGTGTTGTGGATGAAAGTAAGTGATATTTGCCAGGGTTTTGCTACCGTGTGGAGGGAGGTTCAGTGTACGGGTACCTACTGGAGACGGCTTGGTGTTGAAAAGACTGACCAACTCTGTGAAGTCTTAAGGCCTTGTGGCTCCCGGTGGAATCCTTCGCTGTACGCATTCAGCACTCGACTACAGCGTAGAGGGCTAGTCGCTGACCAGCAAAACTGACCGACGCTACATACCTGTACTTGTACACCACTCCGGGTACCATCACAAGTACTACTTTTAAGAAAGAGTCGATTTTTGCACAGACACAGTAACACGTTGCTGGATTGTTTTAGCTACCTGGTAGCCAGATTAGCAGACCCAGCAGTATGATAGCCGTTCCGGACCGTACTCCGGAGCCGCTGTGCAGCTACCTCGTATCTCGCTGCATCCACGTGGAAGTCGATTTTCCTGTGGAATTTAGCGAAAATAGCTCCTAATTAAATCATGTACTGGTAATAGGCTTTTAATTAAAATGAAGAAGAAACTTTCCCGACATTTCTCTGAAAAAGTGCTGGTCTTGCCGACAGTTTCCGACAAATGCAGACATTCTCCAAGAAACTCCCACATTTTCCGACACGTTCAGATTCCGACATTCTCCCGACATCCGACATTCACGATTAAGCAGTCCTTTTTTCCAGGATGCCCATGGATGCTGGACGAATGTCACAATGGTACTGGTACCGGTGTACTGGTACTGGTACCGTATGGTACCACCACAGCCTCCGGCTTGGGGTGGTGGGTCAAGTTTTAATTTTTTTAAAGCCAATGTTATGAGGAGTCTTAAGAATCAGATTATTCTTAAGAATCAGGAAAAAATCTTGGGAAAATTATGATTCTTAAAAGAATCAAATACAGGGTAGACAAGGATTCTTAAGAATCAGCCTATTCTCAAGAATCAGAATTTTGCTGATTCTGGGAAATGATGATTCTTAAGAATCAGATTTGGAAAAATCTGATTAAGAATCAGCAAATAAAAAATCCTGATTCTTAAGAATCTGCTGCTAAGAAACAACACCAAGTACAAAAAATTCGGTTGTTTTCAGCGCTCATCTCCTGTATCCCCTCATTTCGTAACTATCAATCCAGCCATAGTCTAGTTACAACAGCAGTCATTGATTTGTACCTGACGTGTTTGACACTCTGCACAGGTTCCGCCGGCTGCACTCGTGGGTTCATTGCAAGCAACGTACCCAATGCATGCCAATGCTACTCTCAGCTTACTCTGGTTCGGCTGCACTAGCTACGCTCCCTTACCTCGCCTTCGGTCATTACGATGAGTACAAGGAAAAGCTGTCAATCCAGGCAGCTGTTGTTACAATAGTGTCAATTGTAGCTGAAATGTTTGACACTCACTTATGCAGGTTCGGCTGCACTCGTGGGTGAACTCATTGCAAGCAACCTACCCAAGACATGCCAATGCCACTCTCAACTGATACCTTTTTCTTCTTTGTGACGTGCTTCGGCTGTGCACTCCTGTGTCGGCTGTCGGTTGTGACAACCGGTGGCTCTTCGTCGTGCAACACACACCAAAATCCTGACAGCCACCCTTCGGCTCCACGGTTCCTGCAATGTACCTTTCCAACATTCTCCATTAACTAACTGTTCATTCCAGCTCCTAGCTGAAGCAGACTGTACCGACGGGTATTTCTCACACTACTGTTGCTAAAGTCGATAGGATGACGGGTATTTCTCACACAACTGTTGCAAAGTCGGATGATTGGTCGACCGGAGATGTGGGGGATAGTATGATTTCTGGTGCTTGGAGACGTTGCCTCACATGAATGATGGTTGGTGGAGGTGTTGTGTGTAGGCACAAGACACACTCCAAAAGTAGGTATGAGGTGCAGTGGCTGGTGTTGATGGTGGATCAAAGATTTGATGCCACATCCTTTTGTGACGGATGCCGATTGCCGATTGCAAAGAATCCGCATTTTGGATGACCCGATTCTTAAGAATCTTCTTTCACCAGATTCCTCGCACCAGCTCTGAACCGCCTGCTACTAGCTAGCTTGTAGCACGTAGTAGCACTTGTATCAGCATCCTTGGTTTACCATATCAAGAAGCTGGGGCACCATCTCGACTATTGACTAGCTAGCGTACTATTACCACTCTTTTTCATTATTTTATACGAGTACCGGTAGGTACCTTTATTACGTTTGCTCTAGACAATGGCGTGGAACGGCGACAGTAGCGGCCGGTGACACACCCGGAGATAACCCTCTTGTTTTCTGGCTGGAAACAGCGGCAGCGACGGATCGATCGATGACTTCTTCCTTCTTTCGGTCGATGACTGCTTCCATGGTTCAATATCTCTTTGCTCTTTCAAGATGATGTCACCACCTTTCCAGCGGCTACTCCTCTCTACAGCGGCTCCACTTGTTCTAGCGGCGGCTTAGTGCGCGGCGATGGATTGACCTGGTTTTCCACGAAGCGACCTTGACACTTCTCCTTCCACGGAGCGATACTTTGGGCCATGACGCATCTACACTATTGCAACAAGAGGCTGCCGTATCGATACCCCGTCCGAGCCGGAGCGAGCTGTCACCTGTAGCGGCTACTATCAATACCAGCAATGGCACCGTTCTCCTTCTTCGGTCGGTGGATCGATGATTGCTTCCACGTCCTCTTTCATGGAGCCACCATGACGCCAGCTTCGGGCGACAGCAACAGAATTCTTCGACGGGTCGATGACGCACGGAGCGAGCTTCTTTCTTCTGTACTCCTCAACCATGACGCATCCTCTTCCTCCACTGATCAGTGAGCGAATGGCAACTATGGATTTTACACTCTTCAGTCTTTGAACCTGCTATAGCTACTACATCGAAGTGCACGACACAATTATCCAACTCAACATCTTCTACGAATTTATCCTTTGTGAAACCGGAACAACACTAGCTACAGACGTCGCCCGAGAAGTTTGGCTCTGTCTTTTTGCTTTCGAGATGGGGATCCCGATCAGTTGAAGGAAGAAATGTTCTCTCGCTACCTTGCATCAAAACATCATGTCGGACGGAATTGCCTCCAAGGCTGGCCGAAGGAAGGCTTTACAGATGTCCATACAATAGGTACACTGGCTGAGATGAAGAGCGAACTGAAGGTCTTCTACACAGTGCATACGAACACTCTTATCCAGGAAGAATTTGTTGAAGAAGCTTGAAAGCTCAAACTCCACGACAGGAGCACTATCGAACACACCGAGTGCTGTCTCTTCAAGATGACGCATTGGTAGCTACCTGTATCGACGGACCAACTATAGATTCAGACGACACGCATAGACGACGGCAAGAAGCCTCCGGTGACAAACTTGCTCTTCGCGAAGACAGAAGTGCTGAAGAACCGGTTGAAGGAGCTGCAGTTCAAGCGATTGAATGAGGAAGCAGGTGGAAGCATCTCTGTTTGACAAGACAAAGGTATTCTCGCTCTTTCGGATGCTCAGTTCCAGATCAAACCGCAGCGACGACCATGGCAACACTGTGGCAGCGACGAAGTCTTCCACAAAAAGCAAGAAAGCAGCCAAGACAGCTGTTTCAGAGCAAACACTACTGTCGCCTCTCTACAAATGGTCTCGGCAGTGAGTTCTTGCAGTAGATGAGAATCGATTCGCGAATGGAAACAAGGCAATCATGGAGTCGATGCAAACCTCATTCGCTGTCGAGGTTCGATTCTTGATCACAAAACAATTGAAACCTAGCCAGTAGACTTGGGTGCGTCCAACCGAATACGCTGCAGGTTCCACACAACACACGACGACAACCATCCCAGTATTTCCCAGCAGGTGGCAAGCACTGTGATGGCCAAACAATGATCGAGAACCATTTACGAACCATAACGCCGATGACGCTCAATGAGCAAGCAAGCTAGCTAGCGAGCTGCGACTCCGGTAGCCACTTGCCCCATACAGAGTGGACGTATATCATCAGCATCATAACCAGAGCATTTGCAACAAGTTGGTTTTACAAAGTATAAAATTACGTAAGCATTCATTCATTTCTCCTTCTCTCGTGCATTCTTCATTTCATTAAGACAATCATGTATGAGCAGACCTCATTCCCACTGTTAGTCAACCTTCTTGGCCTTGCTCACAATCTTCATGTTGAAGTTGAAGGGTGTCACAACACTGATAAGGGCCAGAACACATCCAGAGGCCATCAAGGGAAGGCCAAACAGCTTGAAGAACAGCTCAATTCCATGGGCCAGCATTCCTACAAAACCTGTCAGCATCATCACAGTATCCAAAACTCCAGCATTCGCAGAGGCAACATAGAGCTTGTCAACTCCCTTTGAGAAAGGCAAAAATGCTTCCTCCTCCATATCCACCTCACAGAAGGCACTGTTGACATGGATACAGAGCAACCTCAGGGGAGAGGTGATCAAGTGGGTGAATGCCTGCCTGTGCATCAAGGGCTTTCCAGCAACCTCCACATATTCATTGTCAGTGTAGCGAGGGTTGCTGTAGGAGGAGGCAAGAAGACCATTGACCACAATGGTTCCATCCTCAGTGGCAGGAGAGAAGCCTCCCATGAGCTTGACAATGCTAATGGCAGTCACTTTGGCGGCCATGGTGGTGGCGGCATGACCAGGCTCCATGAGGGACAAGTTGTCGCCAACCTTAACATGTCCAGCCTCCACGGGATACTGCTGGTCATTGATGTAGATCATGTGCTTGGGGGTCATCTCAATCTTGTTACAAGTGTCTGTGACAATCTGGAGGTACTCTGATTCCCTGGCTTGACTTGCAGCAACCTTCTCAGGTGTCCTGTGAAGCCAAGCATAACCCTGCTCAGACACGTTACACAGTTACCGAGAAGGAACTTCTCAGTATCGTAGAAACTCTAAAAGAATTCCGTAACATTCTTCTAGGACAGAAGATCGTTGTACATACGGACCACAAGAATCTTACATGTAAGAACTTCAATACCGATCGCGTATATGCGATGGCGCCTTATTCTGGAAGAATACGGCCCTGAACTACGGTACATCAAGGGCGAACAGAACATCGTCGCGATGCGTTGTCGAGACTTAACATCTCCAACAACGACGGTTCTTCAGAACAGATGGACGCCAGCGAGATCGCTGAGCTCATGGCTGCAGACGAAGAGGACTTCCCTAGCGAGTTCCCTCTCTCGTTCCCTGAGATCGAACATCGTCAGAAAGACGACAACGATATCAAGAAGCTCCTCAGGGACAAGCCAAACGACTACAAGAAGCAATCTTTCCCAGAGGGGATAAGTCCTACGACTTAGTAGTTAAGGACGAAAATCGTCGTACCTAAAACTATGCAGAAAAAGCTAGTTGAATGGTACCATGGTGTGCTGATGCATCCTGGCGAGACTCGCACGGAGCTAACCATCAGCCAACACTACACCTGGAAGGTCTGCGCAGGACTGTGCAGGCCGTATGTCAGCGTGCCAAAGCTGCCAGATGAACAAACCCAAGACGCGTAAGCTGGGATTGATGCCTCCAAAGACTTGCGAGGAGATTCCTTGGGAAAGACTATGTATTGACTGATAGGCCCTTACAACGTCGGGGATCCAAGAAAAAGGATTCCTGCACACTTCATTGCTTTGACAATGATTGATCCCTAACCGGATGGTTCGAGATGCAGAGATCTGCTCCAAGGCAGCAGACGAAGTAGCCATCGTCCTAGAGCAAACGTGGCTTACTCGGTATCCATGCCTGCTGAGGTTATCATGGATAGAGACGTGAGTTCCGGCAGAGGTCGAAAAGACACTCGGGATGAATATGGATTCGTCGCAAGTTCATTACGCGCAACCCTCAAGCCAATCTATGGTCGAGCGTGCTCATCAAACCTACGTAACTTGATCGCTGTTCAAAAATCAAGTGCCAAGACGACCTCGTGAATGATCCTGGGATGGAGTCCTCACGGCGGTTCGTTTGCAATGAATGCACGATTCATACCACCTTCGCGCAACGCCTGCACAGCTCGTGTTCAATCGTGACGCGATTCACAACGTCCGGTTCGAAGCCAACTGGAAGTACATTAAGGAACGTCGCCAACGACTAATCCAACAAAACAACGATAGGGAGAACGCGACGCGTATCCCTCATCAATACAATGTCAACGATACTGTGATGATTCAACAGTATCAGCACCGCAAGTACGGTCAGCCAAAGTACAAAGGTCCTTACACTATAGACCGAGTCAATGACAATGGCACTGTACGGCTCCAACATGCTACCGCCAACGGCGGCACAGTCTACCAGACTTGGAACATAAGGTATATACACCCATACAAGGCCTGATCCCCTTGTAGGATTGCCATCGTGCGACGCACATGTCTACATCCAAATCTCATGAGAGTGCCCCGCACTTTAAAATCATATGTTCTCCTTGTCCGACTGCTGTCGCGCCTTCTGTGACCCTTGTCAGGGGGCGAATGCAATACACGGCTCTTAGCCTTATTCGCGACTCGATCCTAGATAGGGTTTGAGTTCGACTCATGACTGAGTCTCTCGTGAATAGTCATTTGAGACAGGGTTCTCAATGACCGCGCTAGTCATACTAGATTGATGATGAAACATCGTCTAGATATTTAGCTAGCGTGGAGTTCTCCACGCTACTAGATCCAGGCTAGAACAGACCTTCCACGCGTTCCGTTTTAGGATCGTGGAGAGACGTAGGATTACTACCACAACCTACTCTATCACACTTTATAGTCTCCCGCGGGAAGCCAGATCTACGATCCCTCGATGATGATCTCTCTCGTCGATTAGTTTTCATAGCTTTCTAATCTCTCTCATAACTTTCATTCTCTCAAACTCAAAACACTCGAAAGATCTTTACACTAGCTTTTAGCGTAGTGCAAGAACCTACTATGACTGCTTCTCTGCCTCCATGACAACCATGACACCAAATGGGCCCAAGAGAATGGATGAGCTCAAGATCAATGACCTGGTGTTGACTTCCTCTGGCCAGTTCCAAAAGGTAT